GATAAGTACGTGTTTATACCTGGTTTCAGTAGATGTTCATTTTTGAGACATTTCAGTATGCTCATTGATGATTTTTGCCTTCAGTGGCCTTTACTGTAGACTAGAGGTGTGTGTTGTGTCAGTAGGTGAACAGTAAAGTAGAATGTTTATCTCAATTAGTTGCCATTGTTAAGTTGATTGCGGGGACGCAATCATTTTTTGCGGGGGAAGCATGTTGGCTGGTACCAAATTGTTGATTCTTAAGTAAGCATGTTGGCTTGTACTATATTGTTTATTTTTAAGTGAAATGGTAACTTGGGTGCTTATTAAAGGGGCTAAGGTGACTAGGACTAGTTACAGAAACCCAAGGGGTTAATCTAAGATATTGGGGATGAGCAGGCCGGGGAAATCTAAAATTTAATTAAAGGTTATCGGCTCACTCTGGTCGTTAAGGGCTGCGAGCTCTATGCAGGTGCATGAGTGGCACGTAATGCTGGGAAGACACCCGCGGTGATTTATGTCTAAAGTTGAGTTCGGGCATGCCGCTGGACGTCCCGGTAGAATCATTACTCATGATCTCTGTTGTGGTCAGTTGTCAGGTGTGAAACGCGGCGGGAGTACCGCGTGGTCGTGCGTTAGCTCGAGCGGTGTATGACACGATCGTTAGCCCTGAGACAACGTGAAGATCTATAGCGGTCAGTTATCGGAGGTGCAACGCATGGGTGCATAGTGACCGGTGTTATCTCGAACGTCGAGAGATGGGACGGGGCCCAACTCGGGTTCTATAGCTCTAGGGAGATGATAAGGGGGGTGAGACTAGCCTATATATGAGGAAGGGCGACTATGTTGAGGTCTCTCTCTCTCCTACACACATAGCTGAGGCTAGACACGATGGTCTAGGCCTCGGATGGTGGCAGCCTTTAGGGCTGGCCACTAAGGCTGGATTATTGTCCCAGCCGATGTTTTGTTGCTGTACATATGTGCTTCGTTCCAGATATTTACATATGTGACCTATGTTTATACATGTGGCCAATGTTGTACCAGTGGCCAAACGTCTGCCGTATAGATATGTTCTTCGTTCCAGTGGCCATTATCTTTGTGGCCCAATGTTTGTACCAGTGGCTCAATGTTTATTTCAGTGGCTGGAACTTCCTGCCGTTTGATTGTCGAGCTAGATTGTTGTGAGTACTGATGAGTATTCATAGATGAACTTTAACCGGGTTTGATTAGTGGAATCAGAATTAGTGATGATAACATTTACCCGTGTGATTCTGGGATTACATAACAGTGCAAGTAGTAAAGTTAGAACTAGAGACGATGTCTTTTACGTTTTTGATTTTGAGATTACATAGCAGTACAAGTGAAATTAGGACTAGAAAGAATAACTTTGACAAGTGTGATTCTGAGATTACATAAGCAGTGCAAGTATTTAAGTTAAGACTAGAGGATATGACATGTGTGAATTCTGAGTTGTGTAAATGTAGATTTGCTATTCACACTTATATATGTGTTTTCTATGAATTAATGTCAGTTACCACGGTGACTAATTCTGCATTGAAATGTAAGTTTGATTATTATATTTGTCTTTTTGACTTGTATTAGAAATTCAAGTGATGTTTTCTTGAATATGAAAGACTGGCCAGGTCTTATTTGTATTGTGTCCTTTGCTTTTAACATATAAGCCTTGTGACGTCAAATGAAGATAAATAAATGCATATTATGTGTGTTTACTATGTTTTATTTTTAGTTTAATATTGGTGTTGTATAGATTTTAATTAGTTTTGCTCAGGTCTTATTAGACCCCTTTGTCACCACGCAAAGGAGCACGGATGAGTGAATAAGATCACCTCTTCGGTTTAAACCCCCCTAACATTTGGTGTCAGAAGTAAGATATAAGATATCTATTTCTCGACGAACCCCTAACATATATATATAGGGGAGGGCCTAAAAAAAAGTTTTGCGGGGTGGCCCTATTTTTCTAGTTCCGCCACTGATGTGTACATATGGGTTAGTGAGTGTGTGTCTGTGAGTCTGTGTATGTAGCTAGAAATGGAAAAATATGCTCATTTTATGGAATAAAAATAATACATTTTTAGTTTTAAAAACATAATAATCATTAAAGACATTTCGTACATAAACAAATTATAAAAATCATAATGGTGCTTTAGCTTCCCTTTTTTAGTTTGCTTAGGATGTAGAACTCTTCAATGCCTGCCATAACAAACGCAATAACAAACATAATAAACCTGCCTATTCAAAACTGATAAATTCATAGAACCAATTAAATTCTGGTAATCTCATGATGTAGCGTCGATTATCATTTCGAAATTTTACAGTAGAAAAAATAACATTATTAAAACAATGGCGCAGTCTGTCAAACCTTTATTGAATCCACCGAAAGTACTGTAAACTTTATTTTATTTGGCGCAATCTCTTTTAATACAAAACGTTCAAAATAGAGAGACAGCTTTTACTTGCAAGTTAAACTGTTTTGCTAATCACTTTGCATTGATAATTTTCTAAAGTGTTTTGCTAATTATCGCTGCTACTAAACATTGTTCTAGTATTTTTGTTATTATTATTATTTTATTTTGTTATTTTAGTATTAATTTTAGTATATTACGCTTTATTTATATTTTAATGGTCAAAGAAAGTATGGATAGTATGTTAAGTGGTAGCCAAATACTTAACACAAAGATAATGCACAACATTGTATTTTAACGTCATGTTTTGAACAACTTTTAAACGCGTTCAGTGCATGTAAAATCTTTTTTTTCTCGTGTATTTGTCCACAAACAGACATTACTTTTACGTTGTGGTTTTTGCATACAAATCAATGTATTTCGTGTTGTTTCTTCATAAGTTTAATACGTTTCGATTCCTAACTTATTTATATAAAGAGTTACATCATTTTATTTTACTGCGTCGTGTTTATTGAGGATTGGTTTCGTTTTAGTACTGTAGGTGTAGCTAAGCTTTGTACTAAATCCACCGCTGTGTGGCGCGCCAAGCGTCGTTTCGTGTCACAAGAAAACCTCCCTAGCCACACCAACGGCCACACAATCGTTAAGATAGGGAGCTCTTGTTTGTACAGGGTGGTGACAGGTGGTTGTCGTGTCACGTGATGTTGAGTTCACCACCTACCAGCTGTTAGGTCAATTATTGACGTTTGGGATTGCGAACAGTAGGTCCTCTTGAATACTGTGGGCAGGGTATAGAGGAAGTATTGAAATCGTGCATAAAAATCACATGAAATGTTACAGTTTTCACTGTTTGACTTCTCAATACTTCATCATATACGGAGTATAAGGGGCTATTTAAATCGGGCAAAAATGATGAATCCAAATTTATCAAAATCTCGGTGTCTTACGCTTCATCTAGTCGGAAAAACTAGGCTTTGAAATTTTGTCCGTATGTCTGTGTGTGTGACTGTCTGTCTGTGTCTGTCTGTCTGTAATCACGATAACTTGAGTCAGAGGCGTAGCGAACCCTCCAGGCGCCCGGGGACAAAACTTTCGATTTGCACCCCCCCCTCGAACTTTTCATTTGCACCCCCCCCCCTCAAACTTTCAATTTGGCGCCCCACTAAGGTTGGCGCCCGGGGACATATGTCACCCCCCCCGCCCCCCCCCCCCCCTCACTACGCCTCTGACTTGAGTACCGTTACAGCTAGGTTGATAAAATTTAATACATAAGTATTACATCAAATTTGTAGTTCTGTATCAACTTTTTCAAAAGCCTATATCTTGAGTACTACTGTTTCAGATAGATAGATGAAATTTTACGTATACGTGAACGATCTAATTGCCTGCCCTCTTTCAAATTTTGAGTAATTTTCGTAGAACGGAAATAGTACTTTACGCTATTTTCAATTTCTCAAATAACGTACATGAATTTATAAAATTCTAATATTCCGCTCTATTATAGGTACATTGTTGGCTGTTCACTTGCTGCGCAATTCTTTTTTTTCTACGAGATTCTATTATATTTAAAAACTTAAAGTAATTAAAAAATTGATTAAAAATCATGTCTATATCCCGCGTTGCCATCCCTGTAGTGTTATATCAGAAAGTTTAGGGGAGATCATTCCCGCTTTTTAAAAAAGTGTCTATGGGTTAATTACCCGTGGTGACTGTGGTCAATGATCTGGGTGCTATTGTCCTAGATCCCTTTCCCAGTTGTATCAGTAACATCAGGCACGTTCATATAGACTGATTTTGCAGACTGGTAACTTACTTTTACATATATATATATATATATATATATATATATATATATATATATATATATATATATATATATATATATATATATATATATATATATATATAGGCCTATATATATATATATATATATATATATATATATATATATATATATATATATATATATATATATATATATATATATATATATATATATATATATGGCAGTTTTTAGTGGATGGTTTGAATTTTAAGCTTGGTCTCATATTTGGTTTTAATAGATACCACACTTTTCGACTTTTCTTTTTGAAAACTCTTCTATGATTTTGCGTTTAGCTTAATGCTTGTCTATTTTATAGATATAATTCAACTATTTTCTACAAATAGAAAGTGCTGGATATACAATAAAATTGTAAACATATAGACTATTGGCTACGTTTTTTGTGAATCACCATTTATCTAGTGTGAAATATTTTCTATTTTGTAATTAAAAGCTGCATTAGAAAATAAGCATGCTCAACTACCCAATTATTGTTTATTATGGTGTACCAAAATCAACACAGCTCATAATCAAAGGTCAATCTTTTTATGATATTAATATGATCCTTATACCAATGGTGTATTATTGTACTTGGACATGTGAATCAATAATCACATATGCCGTATGTCAGTAATGACAATTTTATTTTCCGGTAATCTTCACCTGCTTTTGGTGCTTCAATTATAGCTACGATAATAAACAAGTTGGTTTCTCCTTTGTGAAAATGTTACCTAAATTAAAATAAAGAAAATACAAATAGACTAACAAGACAGAAATGAGTGAGGTAAATTTGGTTTAATAATTAAGTCAAAGATCCACGTCAACGTCAGACATGTGAATTGACACTATCATTTGATCAAGCTAACAGAAGAATTCTCTCTCCATTGTCTAAAATTTTACGTGTTCAATGATGATGTATGCCGCGTCACTCTTGAAGACTTTCAGGCATAGCTGTAGGATATTTCGGGCGTCTAGGCTTCTTTGGGAACTAAGGAAAAAAACAGAAACTGGTAATGAGTATAATTTGTTTTGATTAAGTGAAACTGGTAGATCAAAGAAGTAGGTCAAAACTTTTCTGTCTAGGGTAGTCGGTAAGTTTTTGTCTAGTCAAAAAATTTCTAGCTTTTCCGAGAATTTCGAGCTGATCAGAGTTTCTGTTTTGTCAGAGATTGTCTGACTAGTCAGGGGATTTTGAACAAGTTTCTCGCTAGTCAGAGAGGTACTGGCTAGTATATTACTATCTGTCGAGCGAAAAGAGGACTTCCTTATCAGTGAAACTGAGTTCAGTCAATACAACATTCACACTTCCTAACAGTCTCACTTTACACGCTACCAGCGTCACTACTATTTCAACAGTCTCACTACTATTTCAGCAGTCTCACTACTATATCAGCAGTCTCACTACTATTTCAGCAGTCTCACTACTATTTCAACAGTCTCACTACTATGTCAGCAGTCTCACTACTATTTCAGCAGTCTCACTACTATTTCAGCAGTCTCACTATTTCAGCAGTCTCACTATTTCAGCAGTCTCACTACTATTTCAGCAGTCTCACTATTTCAGCAGTCTCACTATTTCAGCAGTCTCACTATTATTTCAACAGTCTCACTTCCTCCTGCAGTCTCACCTTGACAGGTGCGAGCCGCCACCTGCTCTTTGATCTTGTCCAGCACCTGGTAGCTGGTCACCTGGAAGACGTTCTGCTTCTCGCTGGCCACCGCCTGCAACTCGGCGCTCTCGAACCTCCCGATGCCGATACTGATGATGTCAACGCCCATGTCTTTAAGGCTCTGGGCGGCCTCAGCAGCTAAAGTTACAAAATATGAGATGTGTAAACAAATATTTTGTTAATTTTCAAAAATAAAATGAAGACCATGGTGTCAAAATTGCAAGTCACCTTGTTACCTTGATCAAACTAAACCATTGACAATACAACTCAAGTTAGACTTGCTGTGGTTTTTAAATCTTAAAAAAATACACTACTACATTCCTTTAAAAAGCGAGTTACATTTTTTTTCTAAACTTGTATAGACTACATATATGTAAGAACATTGATTGCACAAATACTTTAAAATTTTGTGGATAATATATTTCCACACTTAAATTTCAGTAAAAAAGTGACAAGAATAGACATTACTATTTCAATTGGATACTAATAGGTACTAAATGTACCTGTAGTTTAAGAACACTAAAATTATTAGCCTTGAAATCTTTGAATTTTTCCGAATATTATACTTGTTTTTTTTTCTGGATAATATAACAAAATTATACCTTAGAAGATTTACCATCACAAAAATCTTACTTTTAGAGGGGTTGTTAGACCGCCCATCTGTGATAAGGATGACAATCTTGGTGGCGTCGTTCCGACCCCCGAAAGAATCCTCGAACATCCCCTCCTCTTCAATCAGGCTAAAAGCTTTGTCCGTGTTTGTCGTGCTGTTCATGTAGGGCAGGGACAACAGGCTCTGTGGATGATATGACATCATGACAGACATGACATTTCAAATGTCAGAGACAACAGGTTCTGTGGATGACATGACATCATGACAGACATAACATTTCAAATGTTATAGACAAAACGTTCGGTGGATGACATGACATCATGCCAGCCATGTCATTTTCAATGTAGAGACAAAAGTCTCTGTGGATGAAACTGAAAAAAGGAGAGTAAAGACAGCAAAGCAGAGTTAGGCATCTCTTGGGGGGGAGAGGGGGGCTGAGGAAAGTCTACCGCCCCCCCCCCCCCGAACAAAATGGAATTTATATCGAAAATATATACTTGTAACAGTTTCCGCCCCCCCCCCCCCAATTTTAGTCCGCCCCGAAAATTTCAAATCCCCCCCCCCCCCCCGCCGGAAGAAACACTGCAGCAAACCTCCGTACCTCGGCGACAGACTTCTGGTTCAAATTGTCTTTGAGGTCAAACATTTTTGAAGCCACGTAGCTGAAGAGAACGGCACCGAAACACGTGTCTTTGGCGCCAATCTGGAAACTGCTGGCCAGCTCAGCAGCGAACCTGAGCTGCTTGTCGTAGTTGACGCGTCCAATGCTGCCGGAGGAGTCGAGACAGAAGATGATGTCAGCCTTCACACGGCAGGGCTTGGGGGCTGTGGGGGTGGGGTGTGGGGGTGGGGGGATACAGTTGATTAAATACATCAAACAAAGATTGTGAAACTTATGAAATATAGGGCTTAGATTAAGTTGATGAAGTATATTATTTAAAGATCTCTCAAAACAGGAACTTTTAATTTTGAAAGTGGGGTAGGAAAAAGTTGATTTAGCACTTTTTTTATTGAAAGATAACCATAGTCAGAGCTTATGAGCTTTGGGAAAAGTTTTATTTATTACGTTATTTAATCATTTAATAAGTACTTGAATTGCCATAATTTCAAACACGAATAAAGTATGTTTACAAATTACACAGCATATTAAATATTGAGTCTGACTTATTTCAATTAAGATATCTGGATACCTGATTTTTTTCTCAAATCTACACACACCATATTCGCATAACAACACCAACACCGCACACCCCAACAATACACCCTAAGTAAGCTGAAAGCTACTTACGTGGTAACGGTAAAGCCCCTGAAAAAAACAAATAAATATATTTTTTGATTTGACGTTAGACATTTATCACAACAACAAACTTGAGTCGAGTTTATTCTAAATATGAATTTAAACTTCTTTCTAAAACTGTTCTTCAAAGTTCTTTGGTTTTTAATTTTCTTTCCACACGCTGCTCATTGGGGAAAAAATTGCATTGGGCAGCCCTCTTTAGTGTGTATGTTCAAAGTTAAAAATCGATTCGCTAAAAACTCACCATTGTTATCGCCGTCGGTGTCGTCCGAGTTATCAACTTAGATAAAAAAAAATAGATTTAACATAGATTTTTAATTGACCAATCGAATTGAACAAAACAATAGTCTGGAAATTAGAACTTCGAACGTTTATTTTTTTTTTAATCTGCTAGAAGCCATTGTCTAATAAATTGTTTAGTTAAATTCGTTAGCTTAAAATTAAGCAAGTAATAAAAAAAAGTTAAAGCAGATTTTAGATTAAAATAATTTGGGTATATTGTAAAATATATAATTGTTATTTACCTGGGCCGTCTGTGATGAATCAATGAATCATGTAGATTATAAAATAACAATAAATATTACTAGTTATTTATTTCTTATATATATATATATATATATATATATATATATATATATATATATATATATATATAAATATATATATATATATATATATATATATATATATATATATATATATATATATATATATATGCATAATTAAAATTTTTAGCTCATGAAAATGTCTATATTCTTTTGACAAATACTTTTCAACTTAAATGAGTGTTCCAGATTATCGATTAACATAAGGTTTTTAAGCCTATGCGGAGATAAATATTTCAAGTGTGCTTACCCTCTGTCTCTGTTGTACCTGGAATAAAATGTTTACATTGACTTTGACAAGGTGAACGTCAAACAAGTAGTCACAACGTGTTAAGTAGCCACAACAGCAGCTACTACCACACGGGTCAAATATTTAATTAAAGTTTAATTTCACAACAATTTGTCACATGGATGATCAAAGTAAAAAAAAAATATGTATACAGGATTAATGAACATCGAATGAACACAAAATTCTTTCTTCAATGGGAAATAGAATAAGGGTACACACTTACCTCCAATCGAGTTTATAGCTGAAACATAAGAATTTTAGTTTAAAATTACAATTTTAATTAAAATACAAATATATAATTTTACAAAACTCGTTACAAATTCTCTCTCTCTCTCTCAGAGTTTCTTCCAGGCATCTCTTCGGGAAGAAAGTCTACCCCCCCCCCCCCCCCGAACGAGATGGATTTTATATAGTAAACATACAATGTTACTAGTGTCCGCCCCCCCCCTCCACCAAAAAAAACGAAAAATGTTCACCGCCCCCCCCCCCCCCCGAAAATTTCAAGTGCCCCCCCCCCCCCCGGAGAAAAATGTCTGGAAGAAACACTGCTCTCTCTCTCTCACACATACACACACACACACACACACATATATATATATATATATATATATATATATATATATATATATACATAAAGCATATTTACGATACTGTGTTTATATAGGTATTATTTCATTGTTCCTATATACGATATGACACTTACCGCTGCATATTTTTTTGGACAACATCGGGGTGATCTTCTTGACTGTGTCCATGTCCTCCACCATGAGAGCGTCCTCTGGCGTGCTGGCGATAAACTTGAGCTCTTGCTCGTTGGCGTTAGAGAATCCCACAGTCAGCACTTTAACTCCGTCGGCCTTTAGACGGTCTGCGTACCTCACGGCTTTGAAAGGGTTAAACACAATTTTTCTTTAATATTTTTTTTCTATAAAATATTCGCAATAACACAAAAAGATATTTTGGTCAGTGTGTAAAAAGTCATAAATCCCTAAACAAATCAGTCTATTGTAGAAGAACAAAATTCTTTTTTAATTCTTATATGCTGTTCTTACCTAGCCAAGAATGTCAAAAAAAACTAAATTCATTTCCCGTTTGTGCCTAAGATGAAGTAAATTTCATCCGCAACAATTGATGGAATAGTACGTTCAGCACTATTCCCAGTCGGAGTTACTTTCCTCAACATGAGACAGGTACCATCAGAGTGGACTCAGTGATTTCTTACAGATTTAAGACCGAGACTTTTAGTCGTGAGCTCTACCTTCCGACCAGGTCGTCCCTAAAGCCCTAACTAATCATAAATGTCATCTAATCTTAACCTCACATAGCCACTATACCCTAACTCACCTAGTCTCATATTGTCCGATTTAGACCCAGACACCAAGACAAAAACATGTTTGGAACCAATTCGAGCACCAAGCGCAGGTGTAAAGATCTTTCTTAAGATGGGGTAGTTCAAAGCCAGGTAGGTGATCTTGGGACCTTGCAGGTAAGGTGAGCTCAAGATGGCCTGGGAGGAGTTAATTTAATAACAAATTAATTTAATAGCAGGTGACTTATTAGTCTTATCTGACCAATGTAATCAGGTGTTACGAAGAAATAAGGGTTGGTGTAAAGCAGTCTGTTGTTTACATATTTACTTAAGAGTAAGGCAGGAGCCTGCTATACCCATGTTAGATAGAAGCATCCTAACTATCAATATGTTCTTTAAATGTGTAAGTAATTATCTTATATAAAATCAAATCTTCGTCAGACCTAATTAGTGGTTATGATAGAGGACAATTATTATATTTTAAAGTTTTGAAGCTTTTACTTAATTATTGAAACTCTAACTTAATGCTGTTACATTCCATCTTACCGAAATATAAAAACGAGTGTATGCTCATGAAGCTACACAACTTTAAAGATCCTTATCATAGACTTTCCTCTTAATTAAATTATGTAACCATAGAACCCTGTTTACCCTTGAGATCTCCGTCATGCTGGAATACGTGTTAAAGTCTAGAACTTTCTGCACCACGTTGGTGTACAGCACGATGTGGAACCGCGCCTTGTCCGGCCCCAGGGTCAAGGGCGCGATCAGGTCTGAGACCAGCTGGAGCTCCTTCTTGTACAGGTTGATGCCCACGTCCCTGGAGGAGTCGATGGCGATGACGATGTCGGCAAATGTGGTGCATGGCTCTGGAAGCGAGAGTTGTAACCAATCAACTCACTAGTAATTGTGTTCATGCCTTTAGAACATGGTTGTTTTCTATGCTGCTATGGTCTTATTTTTAATTGGCGTTTTTTTTCTATGTTACATAAATTCTTATTTCTTAATAGATTACAATTTAGTAATGTAATTAGTTTTATTTTTCTTAAATGTTTAGAATGTTCCAGCATTATTTGTGTTATTTGAAGAAACGAGGTAATTTTGATAATGTTTTCTACTTACTCAATGCAGGTGTCAATCCTGCCAAGTAAGCAAAAAAGTCAAGAATTAAACATACACAATTAAAACATATATATTATAAAATTAATTAAAGCAATTATATTAAGCCATTCGCCAGTTAATTATAAAAATCATAACCTTACCGTCACTCTCTTCGTAAAAAGGATTTACTGAAACAAATATTATGAGACAAAGTTACATCCACGTAGTCAACTCAAAAGTACAAATATGATAATTGTCTGATATAAAAAATGGCACTACTCTCTTAAATGAAGTTGAAATCTACTTTTTAATATAGATTTTAACCAAAATGTCTCTATTAAAGTAGAACTACAATCTCTCGAATGAAGAAGAAATATAATATATCTACTGTAGAAGAATTATAACCTCTCTAATAAAGTAGAATCATAAATTTTCTCAATAATGCTAACATTTTTGTGTTAAGTCTACTACATTTAGTCGAATAAGAGAAAATGTACCTTTCCAACAAATACCCTTTTCTACCAAATGACCCTTTCCACTCAATTCCCCTTTGCACCAAATCCCACTTCCCACAAATGCCCTTGTCCTCCAAATGCCCCATTATACCAGGATATCCTTCCCTACCTTTACATGTCCTGTCAGCCGCTTTAGCTACGACGCTCTTCAAATCCTCAAACCTTGTAACAGCAATGATGTCCTGTGGACTGGCGACCAAGGCACTCAGTTCGTCCTGTGCCGGTTTGCCTATCGCCACCACCAACAGTGTGTAGCCTCTTTTTTTTAACAGCTCCACAGACCGAGCAGCTGTTGGGGGGAGAAACTCATTAATAGCAGATTTAATAATAAAAGCCTTTACTTCAAAATAAATGTATGTGATAATTATTTCCAATCATCTTTGAATGTTTTTTATATTATTTTTTTCTTTTATGTTGTCTTATTTTTTCTAAAAACATTGAATGCAGGTCTATTTGATAATAATTTTTTGTATCTTATGTTGTGTTTTTTCCCAATAAAATTTAAACGTGTATGAAACACATTACTGTATAATGTTTTCCAGGACTGGGTGCCAGCTACTAGGATCACAATCTTGGCAGCGTACTTCCGGCTACCCACGCCCCCTCCATAAGCGGGGGCCAAATCAAGCGCCACGTGAGTCATAGAGTTGTAGTTTCCCACCACCCTGTTGGCACTGAGCAAAGCCTGAGGATAGAAGAACTCATTTATTAAAAGAGGATACACATATTATCGTACTCGTTATTTTCTCGTAGTCATTTGGAAATCTGTATATTAAACATGTTTGCCCCCCCCCCCCCCATTCCCTCAAATTTATGTTGCACAGAAAGCTGATTCCCTTAATAAATATACACACACACGACATGCACCTACACACTCAAATACATATACACACGCTCACACACACATAGAGTGCGCATGACATACGCCATAAAGTCATGAATATATATAATTATGTATTTATATAGACGTGTGTGAGTATGTGTATATGTATGTATGTGTTGATATATAAGTTATAATTCTGACTAAGAATTCAAAAACACCTAATGAATATTGCAAAAAAAAATTTCATTTTGCAGGCAATTTTAAAATATTTTTAGTTTGTAATCCCCAGAGAGTGGGGCCAAACCTGCCCTCAACTGTTGCCTCATGTTCCACTAAACAAACCTCTATAACAAAGAGAAGCATCGCACCTCAGCAAGCTGCTCGTTGGCGCTGAACTTCTTCAGGTTGAACAGGAGCCTGGCCACGTTGTTGTAGACGATAGCAGCAACCAGCGCGTCAGTTGGTCCGACGGCCATTGACTTGGTCAGGTCTGAGGCGAACTTCCGCATCAGGTCAAACTGGCTGTTGGTGATGCTGGGAGAGCCGTCCAGCAGCAGGACAATGTCCGACACGGCCTTGCATCTTTTTTGTCCTATTGGTGTATATATATATATATATATATATATATATATATATATATATATATATATATATATATATATACAACGTGCCCCTTGTGCATGCGTGCTTGTGTGCGTTCGTGCGTGTACATATTTGAGTGTGTGTTTCTTTGTGTGTGTGTGTTTTTGTGTGTGTATGTGTGTGTCTGTGTGTATGTGTATGCATGTGTGTGTATGTGTGTGTCCGTGTGTACGTGTATGCGTATGTGTGTATGTGTGTGTCCGTGTGTACGTGTATGCGTGTGTGTGTATGTACTGATAGACTAAAAGACTAACCAATCGCCACTCCAGCAAACAGGCTAAGCACCAACACAATGACCAGCAAGTTATGTCGAAACATTTCCAGAACGTCAGGAATTTTCTGAAACAAATTTTTAAAAGCGTAACATTCAGGTGATCAGTGAGTATTTTGATTTTCTAACACGGCTCAGCTAGCTCTACAGTGATCATCAGTTAGTCTCTTGTGGGTTTGGGCATTCTTAAATCTTATCAAATAGGTTCAAGTAATATTTAGAGCCAACTCATTGCTGGTTGCTGCATTCTCTTTAATTTGTAAAATATTAGGTTAGAATAACGCGTTACATTTTAAATAAAATACTTAAACTTCAAAACGTTTGTTTCCATCTTATGGCAGACCTGAACTTATAAAATATAACCAAATACAAACAATAAAAATTGTACTTGTTTTCACAAATGGAACAGACGTAGAATAGCCTTGATAAATACCAAAGTGGTGAATAACCATGTAATGTATTCGGTAGTTTCTCAACGCTACAAACAACAGACGTGTAGCTAAACATTTAAAAATGTAAAAAAAAAACGTAACATTTTTTTAAAGTTCTTGTAAATTAATCTAGAAAAAGTTAATGTAAAAGTAATTTTTTTTAAATTATCAATTTTTTTTTTTAAATTTTTTATAAAGCTAGCGAATTTGAAAAGGAACTTACCTAATCAAGCGCTTGTGTTGTGAAACAAAATGTTTAACAACTTCTCAATATATAGCCTTGATTTGCTTTTAATTTTTTTTTACCTCCATTGTTAGCATTGTGAAATAATTTTAGTTTATTTAAATTTCTACAATATGATTAATTACACTTTTCTGTTTTAGAAGTTATTTTTGTCGAAAATTAGTTCTCGCTTGACTGATCAGAGTTTTATGAAAAGTATCTCAAGCGTAACTTGCCCTTCAAGCGGAGCTGTAAACAACAGCTATTAAACCACCTCTGTGCCACGGCTAAGTCTGATGGAGAGAACGTGTGCATGATTTAAACGGGAAACTGTGTGTGCTAATTGGCAAAGGTCGGCATATATTACGTGGGGAAATTCCGTTCATTTAGTAAACAAGTTTTGTATACTTTACCCCTTTATTTTGGCATAAATTAACACAATAGCCACTAATGCAGTGGACTTTAAAATCCAAAGTTGTAATTGAGGTCTGACTCAGAGAAAGGTTGGTGCAAGAACGGCTAATACACTTTGTAATAACCAAAACTAATTAGATTAAGATTGGATTTGTTGTTGTAAAATAATTTGTCACATTTTCGACACGTAGAATTAATAAAGGCTGCCCTTATATGGCATTTAACTTAGTTTTTCATGAAATACGCAAGGCAGCATATTTAGCATGAATATGAGTAACAATAACTGAAAACACTACATTGTATTAGTGTTTACTAAATTTGATTTACTCAAGGCCTATTTTGAACAAAGCTCAAGGTCTGTTTAGTGCAAGGCTCGATGAAATAACAAACAGAATTAAAATAAATGAACGACAAGCAAGTAATTATTAAGAAAAGGTTATTATTTATTTACACAACATTACTACAAACTAACCAATAGAACTAAACAACAATAATAATTTGTTCTTATGACGCTGGTGTTACAGAAGAAATCACCCTCAAAATTATTTGAAAAAAATACAGTAGAGATTTCTGGCAACAGAATGCTCGCACTTTACACCAGTAAAGTACAATCCTGTTGGTTTAACGAGGTCACTGAAACATTATTTAAAAGTTGGTACTGTTTTATACACGTAAACCCAGATTGTGGTCAAACATATGTAAGATGTTTTAGGATATTCCCAGACCACACGTTCTGTCTTAATACAATGCTTTAATTTCATTTATATTTTTTTTATTTTTTTACTTTAACAAAAGTGTTTTGTAAAGAAATAAATTTCTTTTGCTTGGCAGCGCTCCAGAAATATTTTTTTTACAATTTCTGTTTGACACCCCAGGTGGTCTTTAGGGTTGGATGGGGTGGACTATATGTCGTCTTTTTAGACTATATGTCGTCTATTTGGACTATATGTCGTCTATTTGGACTATATGTCGTCTATTTGGACCATATGTCGTCTATTTGGACTATATGTCGTCTATTTGGACTATATGTCGTCTATTTGGACTATATGTCGTCTATTTTTTTGTTTACTACTTATTCAGAGTATGTATATTATGAGAAGTAATGCGATTTAATTTCGGTGTTTTGGTCGTATTCAGGATCTGGTATATGTTTTTTTTTCCTCAAGTAAAGAACACGTCTCAAAAAGGCCTTTGTAAAGCTGGCTTTTGCTTAAACTGATGATATGTATATTTGTTGAGGAGTAAGAAATATTTTATTTTTAAGTTCTTCTGACGTAGCTGTACTTTGCTATAAAGTCAGCCATAGTGTAACGTGGCTGTAATCAGCATCTTGTATAGTGCAGCTAGTTAATACAACCTAGTTAGTCGTACAGAGGTAAGATGTTGTATGCGTGGTGTGGTGACAGATGTTTGGAGAGGTATCACGTGATGTAGCGGCCACCAATTGCCTGCTGTTACCTCAACTGTTAACTTCTGGTAACTACTAATACGGTGGCGAGTTAGTCAACTGGAATATATATATATATATATATATATATATATATATATATATATATATATATATATATATATATATATATATATAAAATATGTATGCATGACATTTCTTTAAACAAAGTTAATTTAAAGAATATTACTGTAGGTAAAATCACTTTGGAAAAAAAACGAAATAAATGTTATCTCTAAAATAAGTAACTATATATTACGACAAAATACAAGTTTAGAATGCATTTTTTTTCATGATGCAGTCAGCTTATAGATTTGTGTCAAAGAGTATAAGTACCCCACCCCCCACAACGTCCCATTTATGAATTAGAAAAATGCGTTTTGTAGCTTGCCCCCACTCTTCAGTGAACATGAGAAACTTCAAGGTATGCGTAACTTGAATCCTTTGGCTCTTCAAGTTTACTGTTTTCTAAATGAAACATTTAATTTAGTTTTAAATGTGCCATTATTCTATTTGTAAAGGTTATTCCCTCAACCGTAGAAAACGAATTCACGCCAGCTGTTTCAAAATGAATTCTTTTGTTTGTGTTTTAGCTTAACCTATGGTTGAAATTTAGCTATTTGGTGGGTTTAGTTACAGATGGAAGCTGCAAGTAAATTTGTTGTGCTGAAGGGCGAGAGTAAATGCATTGCTAAGTTTTACAGAACTTCCAGACTCATTGACCTTTACTGAGTTAAGTCAGGTACCCATTAGAGCTGGGTGGTGACACGAGTACCCATCATTGCTGGGTGGTGAGTCAGGTACCCATTAGAGCTGGGTAGTGAGTCAGGTACCCATTAGGACTGGGTAGTGAGTCAGGTACCCATTAGGACTAGGTAGTGAGTCAGGTACCCATAAGGGCTGGGTAGTGTGTCAGGTACCCATTAGGACTAGGTAGTGAGTCAGGTACCCATAAGGGCTGGGTGGTGAGTCAGGTACCCATTAGGACTAGGTAGTGAGTCAGGTACCCATAAGGGCTGGGTGGTGAGTCAGGTACCCATTAGGACTGGGTAGTGAGTCAGGTACCCATTAGGACTAGGTAGTGAGTCAGGTACCCATAAGGGCTGGGTGGTGAGTCAGGTACCCATTAGAGCTGGGTGGTGAGTCAGGTACCCATTAGAGCTGGGTGGTGAGTCAGGTACCCATTAGAGCTGGGTGGAGAGTCAGGTACCCATCCTTGCTGGGTGGTGAGTCAGGTATCCATTAGAGCTGGGTGGAGAGTCAGGTACCCATTAGAGCTGGATAGTGAGCCAGGTACCCATTAGAGCTGGATGGTGAGTCAGGTACTCATTAGGTTTGGGATGGTGAGTCAGGTACCCATTAGGGCTGGGTTGTGAGTCAGGTACCCATTAGTGTTGGGTGGTGAGTCAGGTACCCATTAGAGCTGGGTGGTGAGTCAGGTACCCATCAGAGTTGGGTGGAGAGTCAGGTACCCATTAGAGATGGGTGGTGAGTCAGGTACCCATTAGAGCTGGGTAGTGTGTCAGGTACCCATTAGGACTGGGTAGTGAGTCAGGTACCCATAAGGGCTGGGTGGTGAGTCAGGTACCCATTAGAGCTGGGTGGTGAGTCAGGTACCCATTAGAGCTGGGTGGAGAGTCAGGTACCCATCCTTGCTGGGTGGTGAGTCAGGTACTCATTAGAGCTGGGTGGTGAGTCAGGTACCCATTAGAGCTGGGTGGAGAGTCAGGTACCCATTAGAGCTGGGTGGTGAGTCAGGTACCCATCCTTGCTGGGTGGTGAGTCAGGTACCCATTAGAGCTGGGTGGTGAGTCAGGTATCCATTAGAGCTGGGTGGTGAGTCAGGTACCCATTAGAGCTGGATAGTGAGCCAGGTACCCATTAGAGCTGGGTGGTGAGTCAGGTACCCATTAGAGCTGGGTGGTGACACGGGTACCCATCCTTGCTGGGTGGTGAGTCAGGTACTCAATAGAGCTGGGTGGTGAGTCAGGTATCCATTAGAGCTGGGTGGAGAGTCAGGTACCCATTAGAGCTGGATAGTGAGCCAGGTACCCATTAGAGCTGGATGGTGAGTCAGGTACTCATTAGGTTTGGGATGGTGAGTCAGGTACCCATTAGGGCTGGGTTGTGAGTCAGGTACCCATTAGTGTTGGGTGGTGAGTCAGGTACCCATTAGAGCTGGGTGGTGAGTCAGGTACCCATCAGAGTTGGGTGGAGAGTCAGGTACCCATTAGAGATGGGTGGTGAGTCAGGTACCCATTAGAGCTGGGTAGTGTGTCAGGTACCCATTAGGACTGGGTAGTGAGTCAGGTACCCATAAGGGCTGGGTGGTGAGTCAGGTACCCATTAGAGCTGGGTGGTGAGTCAGGTACCCATTAGAGCTGGGTGGTGACGCGGGTACCCATCCTTGCTGGGTGGTGAGTCAGGTACTCATTAGAGCTGGGTGGTGAGTCAGGTACCCATTAGAGCTGGGTGGAGAGTCAGGTACCCATTAGAGCTGGATAGTGAGTCAGGTACCCATTAGAGCTGGATGGTGAGTCAGGTACTCATTAGGTTTGGGATGGTGAGTCAGGTACCCATTAGTGCTGGGTGGTGAGTCATGTACCCATTAGGACAGGGTGGTGAGGCAGGTACCCATTAGAGTTTAGTGGTAAGTCAGGTACCCATTAAGACTGGGTGGTGAGTCAGGACAGGGTAGTGAGTCTGGTACCCATTAGGACAGGGTGGTGAGTCTACCCATCAGGGCTGTGTGATGAAACGGTTACCAATCAAGACTGGGAGTCTACAGATATCACCAACATATAACTATAGTTTAAATTATCATTTGATGAGTGTGAAAGAAATTGTCTTTTTTTGTAAATATAGGCTACTTTAATTTGCAGGCTTCTAAAGTCATGATACAACGTATCAGTTTCAGAGCTTTGGTGGTGGTCACTACTTGATTAAATGCAAAAACCTCAAGGTTTTTTCTTTTTTATTTTATTTATATTAACCACCTGGTTTTAAAAATCTTTTCTACAATTATAATCCAACTTTTTTAGATTAATTTTCCAAATTTTACACATCAGAAAAAAAATGCAAACACACAGAAAAGAAAACAGCAGAGATTTTTTCTTGCTTGAACCAAATTTATTACCACACCAAAACAAACAAAATGTAGGCAAAAACTGTAGTCGTTAAAAAAGGGATGTAAGGCATGGAATAACACTTTGAGCATTCAACAATTACAGCTGTTCATCAAAGGGTTATTCCATTCATTACAAAAATAATACATTTTAAATAAGTAAATTGTGATTTGTGTTTACAAAGAGATATAATTGAGAAAAAACATTAAAGTTTAAATTGATATTGATTTGGTGAATATATTTCAGAAATAAATGCTGGAACTAAAATTAGGAATTATTGTACTATTTTGCATCTAGTTTATGTGTAATCTTAATAGAAATATTTTTGTCCTGAATTATTCCGGTAAAAAAATTATTAATTTTTTTAAAAAGAAAATATTTCTTGATAATTTGTAAATACTTTTTAGTCTACTCCAAACTGTTATGAAAATTGTATTATTTTTTTAAGGAAAAACTTTTAATAAAAAAAAACACTTCTATAAAAAACAAGATCTCCTGGCGTCGTCTCAAGAATCAGTGTCGCTGCGTCAGTTAACACCCCAACACCGCAGTGAACCAACAGTGCTATAGCCTTCTTCATCAGAGCCACCTGAGTAATACAGAGCAGCAGAGTTTTACATCAGCTGCTAACCAACATACAGTGCAACAGTGCAGCTATGTATCAACGTACAGCGCAATAGGGCAAGTATGCTTCAACATGCAGCGCAACAGTACAGCTATGTATCAACATACAGCGCAATAGTTCAAGTATGCTTCAACATGCAGTGCAACAATGCAGCTATGAATCAACATACAGCGCAAGTATCAACATACAGCAAAACAGTGCAAGTATGCTTCAATATATAGCACTACAGTACAAGTATGCTTCAACATGCAGCGCAACAGTACAGCTATGTATCAACGTACAGCGCAATAGTGCAAGTATGCTTCACATGCAGCGCAACAATGCAGCTATGAATCAACATACAGCGCAAGTATCAACATACAGCAAAACAGTGCAAGTATGCTTCAATATATAGCACTACAGTACAAGTATGCTTCAACATGCAGCGCAACAGTGCAGCTATGTATCAACATACAGCGCAATAATGCAAGTATGCTTCAACATGCAGCGCAACAGTGCAAGTATGCATCAATATGCAGCGCAACATTGATTTAGTCAACATGCAGCTTAATATAAATAAACTGTGTATCAAAATGCAGCTCAAATGAATAGCCATGTTTTGCTATAGCAGCATAAGAAATAACATGCACTGCATCAAGTTACCATGAAACCCCAGGCAGCATAATGCAAGACCAGGTTGCTTTTAGCAAGATTCAGCTGCTGCTCTTTACATATTAGCACATTACATTTTATTTCGTGCTCCAAACAGTTCTATTTGTTTGAAGTTGATCAGACTGTGAAATTAAAAGTTTTTTAAACAATGCGCCAGAAAAAAGAACAAAAATAATATCTATGAAATAAAATTTAACCTACAAAAGCCATGCTGTCCCATAAATTAACCTAAAATAAAAATTCTTTTTATAAATTTTAGTCAGGTCAATTTCAATTTAAGGTATTATATTTTCACCCATTAACAATATAAGTTGGTAAAGAACATGAATTTAATTGTGTTAGTATATTCAGGATAATAATCTACAGCACTAATGCAGCTCAGGAAAAAACCTTGTTATGAACAAAACATTAAAAATATTTATTCCATCAAATGAATTTTTTTGCCTCATTGCGCTTGCAGTAACAGCAGCAGCAGCAGCAGCTTAGCTTCGCTCTTAGTTGCCATAACACTGGATGGGGCCAAGTGAAAAGTACCCCATCTCTGTTAACAAATCGCCTGAAAAATCAACAGAAGCCCTCGTCAGTATTTATATTTTGTTCTTAGCAGCCCATAGAGGGAGATAAAAATTTAGATATTTTAATTGAAACTTTAAAAAATAGATGTATTTTCATTTTAAAAAATATATATTTATTTATATAGATATATATATATATATATTATGCAATAAAAACTGTTTGGTAGTTACATTTTAAATTGTATAGAAATTTAATTTGCTAAATTTCATTTAAGCTTGCTTTTATTTTAATTAATAATTAGACAACTAGTGTATGTAAAAAAGTGATTTAGAACATTTAATTAAATTTTTTAATAAAACATTCAATAACTGTTATAAAGAGTGCATATTTTATAAATTGAATTTCATGCAACAAAAGCCATGCAAAAAGTAAATGTAGAATTGAATTAAATTTGCACGGGTAATTTTCAGATAAGAAAGATTAGTAAAAAAAAAATGGAACATTTTAAGACTTCTTGTTAAGATATTTTATCATACAATATTATAATGTTATCTCCTTGATGAAGCTGAAATAATGTTACAGATGATGAAATATCTTAACCAGCCTTAACATGTTTATAGGGGCCAGTTCACCAAAGGAACACCTAATTTTCATTTAGTCCCATTACAAAGAAGAGGTCCCACCTGGCCGTAGCCATCTTCTTGTGCACCACCTTTAAATTTTTGCAGGTAAAAATTTAGATCAAAAGTTAAATCGAATAACTAAATTAAATATGTTTATAATTCAATATTGTAGTTTTGTAAAACATAATTAATCAAACCCTGGATTGTTATTTCCTAACAGACCTGTCACAAATTTTAAAAGTTGTGTTTTAGTTTAATCTGCATTGTGCTTCAAACAATTATTGTGCTTCCACAATTCAATGAGTAATCATTCTACAATTATTTAACTTTTAGGAAAAGATTTTCATTTACATGTTTCATGTTTAATTAATTTAACCTAATTAACTTTATGAGTCATACCTGTATCTCCGGCCACAAAGGCATAGACAGGCAGGTCATCTTTATAAGTCAGATAGCCTTGATCTGACCGCCAGACCTGATCATTGGAGTCACAGTTGCAGACGTACTTGTATTCAGCACAGGAATGTGTAACCCCACATTCACAGAAGTTGGAACCAGGAGGTGCACCCCCAAAATAGTCAGCAAGACCCTTAGTTCTAGACAAGTCAAAATAACAAAATAGTCAGCAAGATCCTAAGTTCTAGACACATCAAAACAAAACAACATAGTCAGCAAGACCCTTGGTTCTAGACACATCAAAACAAAACAAAATAGTCAGCAAGACCCTTAGTTCTAGACAAGTCAAAATAACAAAATAGTCAGCAAGATCCTAAGTTCTAGACACATCAAAACAAAACAACATAGTCAGCAAGACCTTTGGTTCTAGACAAGCCAAAATAACAAAATAGTCAGCAAGATCATTGGTTCTAGACACATCAAAACACAAAAACAAATGTGTACCAAATAGGCTATTTTATAAGGTAACATTCTTTTGGCAGTATTGTAATCATGCTGTCATTTTAGGTTCATTACAATAAAAACTTTCTACATGCTTTCAAGCCCTTTTTTAAAATCACTAGATAAATTTTAAAAAGTAATATTTTTATAATAAAAAGTTAATGACGATGAAGTGAAATGTATGTTGTCTAATGACCAAAGTCTTACCTGTTGAGCCAGCCAGTGGTGATTTTATTGTTGTCGTTGTAGTTGTGGATGAGGGCAGCAAAACATTCCCACTTGATGAACTGCTCGCAGTAGAGGGAGCGGTCAACTATAGCCACAGCATGGTCAAATGAGACATTGTAGACCAGGACAGCCTGGTACTCACACGCACCTTCCCAGCCTTGAACTTGGGTTCTTTGTTCTTGGTTGTGGCCTGACAGAGACAAAAAATAAAAGTTAGAGCGCTGATATACTTGGTCACTGTGCTTTAAGACATTCTATTTTCATAATCTGGATATAACACTAAGAATTACAATCTGTTGTTTTAGTTCTGCGACAGTTCACAACTATTAATAAGTTTAATTTAATTGTAATTCCTGCTGTAAATGCATAATTTTTACATACTGTTACAGACAAAAACAGCAATCAGCTCTACCTGCACTGCAGAGCAATTTTAAAAAGCTATATTTTCACGAAGCAGAAAAAGGGTAAAACTAGTGGCCCAATATGTTATATGATGTCAAATAGATAGACAGATGACAAAACTCACCAATGACAGTAACACCACTTCCATTGTGTGCTGTCATGTTGCAGTAGACAACGACAGGCTCCAGAGAGAACTGCTCAGGCCCATCAGGGTCAATCTCACAATGTGTACTGTCCACTAGTCCTCTCTGTCCAAGCTCTGAACAGGTCTTAGCTTTTTAAAACAACCAACAGTATTAATCAAAAGAATAGACTAATTTTTGTAAAATATGGTATGTTTTATTTTTTCTAAATGTTTAAGAACAAATTACTAAATTTATTTTTAAAATTTTCATTTAAATTCATTTATAACATTCATGTTCATTAATGTTTTTGAATAGCTGTATAAAATGAACAAGAAAGAATTTCTCAGCCTGTTCATCATAATAAATACAAAACTTAAATGAAGGAAATATTCTTACCATAAGGGAGACAAGCGAATGTGTGACACACAGCGGACTGGTTAGCTGCACCAATGCAAGGTGCAGTCAAGTCCCCATAAGCTGTGGTGTTGCAGCGCCTCGTTCTGAACCTGGTGCCTCCATTACATGTGACGGTACATGGTGTCCAAGAGGTCCATGGGAACCAGATGCCTGGGACTGAAAAACATCATGTCATACAACAAATAAACAATCTTTTCTATTATACTTTTATTTCTTTTAGAGCTTATTTAATTATATTCTAATCTACATTAGGCTTTTTAAAAATTTGTTTTTAAAGTTGAAGCAAATTTATAATTAAATAAAAATACTTGTTGTTAAGTTATAATTGGTTTTTGTTTAAATTTACACTTACAGAAAAATTGTCTAATTTGCTAAATTCTCATTAGAAATTAATTAATTTGCAAATCAATCATTTTTTTAAAGAGCAAAAAGATGAATGCAATAATACAGCTTACAACATGTAAACTTGAAGAAACAACAAATGTGACAATTTACAATAAAATTACGTTTTACCGTACATAAGGTAGGGTGGTGCATGCATGCATTCAATTTTATCAATCTATAATATGGTAATGTCACAGAAAGTTATTAATATATTTTATTGATATAGATATGTTCATTTACAAAGATAGATGGTAATTATAGAAAATAAAAGTAATTAACTTTTGAAAGACAAATTGAACAACAAAAATCTAATTTTACTATAGAGGTTTTTGGCATTGTCAAATATCATGCAAGGATTAAAAATAAAATTTACAGAAAACGGCATGCTCAAAAAACTGAACTAAATAGAAAACAAAACCAAAGGAACTTAACTAGGAATACAAGAAAGAAACTAAGAGAGGATTAGGTAAACATATTTATTGCATGTCAGACAATTTATGGCAAATAAATCTCTCAATTACAGATAAGGTCCTCAAGATAAAGAATATAAATTGTAATACTTGGCTATTCTAATTATTTAGGAATAATATATGAATGATTTCAATCATATTAAATAAAAGCTATAAGCTAACCCTGTCCCACAGTTGAAGAAATTGTTTCTCTAAATATTTATATTTGCTTAATGTTATTACATGTATATTTTACTTGCACTGACCTAAACAAGACTAAGAATCATATTTATAAGACATTTTTAATCAACTATAAAAAAAATTAAGGAGGCTGATTTCATCAGACCAGGAATCATATTTTTAAGACATTTTTAATCAAGTGTAAAAAAATTAAGGAGGTTGATTCCATCAGAATGTCACCTCAGTTACCTCACAGACGGAGAAAACAGTAAGTCTTACTGGGACATGGGTTGTCACTACACTGCATATACTCTGCGCGTTCCCCCACACAGGCCTTCCCTCCATACTTGGGCTCCACACACAGCCTTGTCCTCTCTCGGAGGCCTCCCCCACAGGTTGTGTTACAACTGGACCAAGCTGACCAACTCAACCACACACCATCAACTGAAAACACAAAATTGTAATTCCTATGGTTTCAGTTTACAGTAGTAACTATTCAATTTTCAGATAAAGCTTTTAGGTAAATTAATCAGCTTCATAAAATAGTAAGCCAAAGCCTTTTATTTTGTGGTGAATGAGGCTAATTAAAATGGAATAAAACAAATTCGCTTAGTAACTTTTCACCTGTTACATTTAAAAATAATGATGTGTTAACTGTGCTAGGTGTGGGTAGTAGTTAAACAGATGCGTAGGGACATGTGGGACACTTGATGTCAGAGACTTTTGTTGTAGTTAGACAAGGATAGAACCAGATGTCTCCATAAGAATACATTCTAGGCTATTTGCATTACCTACTGGGGACTACAGGTACATGCTTACATGATAGGTATTCTTTTCTGTAAGTAATAATATTACAAATACTAAAAAGAAGGGGCAGGGGACATAATCTATGATAATCTGAACGCACATAACTCCAGCTAGCAATGACACTAATTCAGCTGTTCCATAGACTTATCTATATCAATTGGTATAGTCTCAGATAGACTGTTTACTTATGGAAAGACTATGAAACACCATACTTGGACATGGTTGGGTGTTGCATGGTTGTGTGGTGTTAGCGTCACCACTGCAGTCCAGGCCGTCATACTGTGGTGGGATACAAGTCCTGTTTCTCCACTGTGTGCCACCACCACATGTGGCAGTACACGTGCTCCACTGGCTCCATGATGTGAAGTAACCATCCACTGGGAAACAGATGTATACGATGGTCAACATGCAAAGAGTGTACTCAACAATGAAACATGGGAGATCAATTTTAGACCACTGCATTTGAAACCAGATTTAGATAAAATCTGAAATTTTTATGTAAGTGTTGTCGTATACATTTTCTAAAATAGAAACAAATTTGTTAGTGTAACATTATTTTTCACATGAATTTAAAAACTATTTTTTATTACTGTACACACTTAGCTAGGGTACTTCTGTCAAAATTTTACTGTAATAGTAAAAAATGTATAGAAAATATTAAAGTTTTACGAAGAAAAATGCAGTCAAAACTTCATGCAGTGATGTAACTCCCATGCACCATGCAAGCATTCTGTGAATGTTATCATCCAAACTAATACACTATCTCATCCCACACTTAAAGTTGTTATAATCCTAATCTAGAAGTAGTGTTCATGCAAAAGTCCAGGATATTTTAATCTGTACAACAAAGGAGGAACTTAGTAAAGATAGATGTACACAAACTCATGAAACTCACATGCAACAACATATAATAGATATATAAAAGATTCACCACATATGAACAGATCAATCAACAAATCAACAGAAAAATGAATGAATTTTTAATTGAAAATAATGTTATCAAACAAGTAACAAAAAAATAATAACAGATTTTTTTTTCAATACAAAATATAAACAGTAATTATTTTCCAACTTTTGATTTTAGCATTCTTACAGTTGTGTGGGTTCTTCCTCTGGTATATAAAGTAACAATTTAATCAGATATTTATTCAGAGAGTTTTTTTCTGATACTTCTCGCATCACTCTTATTAACAAATATTATTCACTATATACCGCCCATAAATATTAACAAATGTTATTATTCACTATATAACACCCATAATTATTATCAAATGTTATTATTCACTATATAAAGCCCATAATTATTATCAAATGTTATTATTCACTATATAACGCCCATAATTATTACCAAATGTTTTTATTTACTACACAACGCCTAAAATCATTATCAAATGTTATTATTCACTTTATGACGCCCATATTGTGTGTAGTCTCAGACCTAAGCTCACCAGCGACAAAGAAGAAATAATAAATACATAAAAACGTTTATAATTACAAGCTTTTATAAATGCACTAAAAAGAAGAAAATAATACAATTTTTATTAAATATAAAATAATTTTAAAAATATATAATAAATCTGTGGTTACTTTAAATATAAAAAAATTACTTTCTTTAAAAATGTTAATGCACTACTATTTATATCACTATGAATAAAAGCGTTGACCGCTTGTTTAAATATTTATTATTATAGTGGCCCACACTTTTATTTATAGTGATATAAATAGTAGTGCATTAATATTTTTAAAGAAAGTAATTTTTTTATATTTAAAGTAACCGCAGATTTATTATATATTTTTAAAATTATTTTATATTTAATAAAAATTGTATTATTTTCTTCTTTTTGGTGCATTTATAAAAGCTTGTAATTATAAACGTTTTTATGTATTTATTATATACTTTTTAGTATTAACGAGTTGTACGCATGTTAAGACAATATAGTGTAGCAACAAATATATGATACACCATTTGAAAAACAGTTTTGCTTTAATAATATGATTAGTTTTACTATAAGTGTCACAGTATTAGGGGATGGCGTAGTCTAGTGGTAAAGAACTAGACTGCTGACCCAACTAAAAACTAACGCGCGCCTATGGAACGTGATGACGCGCTTGTGACGTAGAGCCCCCCCTCGCTCCACAACCAACACGGCCGTCATGACGCGTGTGGATAGAACTGCCTACTAATTCGGTCCAAATTTTAATTAATCCATACAAAATTAATTAGGCAACCAATTAAGTCAAATTGAATGTCATGATGCATTGTCTTCATGTCTTGACCCACATACCAATTACGAACCGTATCTGTCAGTTAGAAGTGCCTGCAATTTTGCACGGGTGTTTCGATCTAGACAGACAGACAGAGGAAGTGAGTGTAATAAAAGCTTGTAAAAATGAAATCAGTTCCAATTTATAGAGGTCTATGATTGTTGGATGATTGTATTGTTTCTGTACAAAACAGCAGATTCCATGAACCTTGTGACAAGCAATTTAAAATGGCAATCTCTAAGGATTATTATACAAAGATTTAGCAAGGTAAATAGCACATGAAAATAAAATTTCCAGAAGATTCTGCAATATTAAAATGCTTTAAAACTGTTTAGAAAAAAAATATGTCCATGTACTTAGCAGAAATACCTGGGCAATGTTTTTCATTACAGTTTTGTGTTTCATTATTAGAACCTTGACATGGGAGACCACCATAGAGGGGTTGTACACATATTCTGTTTCTTGTTTGATTCCCACCTCCACATGATGCTGAGCAAGTGCTCCAGACAGACCAACTATTGTAATAGCCATCAACTTCAATAATATCAAAAGGTGCTCATTATTTCATGGAATATTCACATGGAAAAGATCATGTAAACAAACAGTACTTTAAAAAATTAAAAAAAAAATAGCCCATAGCAAAATCTAAAAAAAAACATTGGTATATGTGGGTAACTAGATTAAATATGATGTTCAAATATTTTTTTGTGTTTATCTTTTTAGATAAATGGTTTTATTTTTAAATCTTTTAGTGGTTGAAAACATAATTTGAATAGAATATATAATGAAAAATGTAATTTTAATAGAATAATGCTGATCAACAAGCAACAAAGTATGAAACATGCCTGGACAATTGAAAGTGTTGCAGCTCTGTGTTTGGTTTCTGTCACCCTGACAATCCTTGCCGCCATAGAAAGGCCCAGTACAGATCCTACTCCTCCACTGGATCCCTGCGCCACAGGTCTTTGAACAACCACTCCACTCGGACCAGCTCCCAAATACACCATCCACTAAAACATTTAACAGTATCAGCATGGCTGAAAACTCTTTACAACACTACAACTGTTAGAGTGACAAACAGTTATAAAAGAAGTCATGAAAAAGTTTAATTCAATACTATACACTGACATGCTGAAACTTAAGACAGATAATCATTCACTAAGCTTAAACAATATCTTACCAGATTTTGATGAACCATTAATTCAAAAGCAGAATTGCTTTCAAATTTTCAATGCTTTTGTTATATTAAGTTGTTACGTTGAAAAATAAACAACTTTTTCAAAATAATTAGCTGTAGATTATTGGAATAAGACAGTAGAATAAAGAAAAGGCAAAGTAATGAAAATAAAAAGGTACAACACAGAGGGGGGGATAAAGCATGCAAACACCAGACAAAACTGATAGCATGCCGGACACACTGGGGAGAAATCATTGACAAACATTGTTTTCATGCAGGATGTTGGGTGGTGTTAACTCAAAGCAGTGTGAACACACACATTTTGTTGAACCCATGTTAGGGGGATGAAATATTTGTTTTAATCTTTATGACAGTGTCTGTTCACTAATTATCATCTAAATATAGAGGATAGTTTAGAATTATCAGTAGATTAGGGAATTTATGGTAAAATATTTACAAATGGAAAATTTTAGTTTTTTAAATTTAAATGCTGGAAGGCTGAAAGAAATTCTGGAGTTTTTATTTTAAACAGTAAAAATTACATCTGATTTATTTAAAACTATATTTAGATATTTCAATGTATAAATGTTAAGATTTACAATTACTAATAGGTTGTATAATAATCTCTTTTATCAAGTGCTGAAAGAATGATAGAACTGTCCACTAGTGTAACAGGCTTTGAGTTTGAAATGTAAACTGACCAGGACATTCTCCAGTAAAACACTGGCTTGTCTGATTGTTTTCACCATCACAAATCTTCCCACCATAAAATGGCCCATTACAGTTCCGTGTCCTTTTCTGCACACCATTCCCACAGGAGACACTGCAGGTAGACCAGGTAGTCCAGGCTAACCACACACCATCAACTAGAAAAAGAGGACAGATTTCTCAATAAAAACATATCCAAAACTCAATAAGCAAATTTTAAATATTGTAGCAGAAAGTAAAAATTATATTCAATATAAATTTGTTGATAAGTAAAAAGATTAGGAACAGTATTATTCATAAAATGTTCCACATATAGAAAATTAATAATTGCAGCTAATAAATAATTGTTTAAATTATTGGATAAATATTTTAAACATTTTGATAAAGGCTATTTTTTTAAATCCTTGACTTAAAATACAGAATAAAATATTATGCAAATCAGAATTAAGTTTAAAAATAATTAAATATCTCAACAGTGCACAATATTATAGTTACTTGTGAGTCATCCCAACAATAAATACTCCTACTTTTGATAACCATCTCTGTATGTTTTACATTATTAACTGTTTACATCAACAAATGTGCTCTCAGACTTTCACCTCTTCATGAAATCCACTCTAAGACTCTACAAGATTGTCATTTCCTATTAAATTCTTATCACACTTTTGTGAAAGTTTAGTATACTTTAAACCACACACTAAGCTGAGACATGAACAGCCCTTGAGGAGCACATGGCTGCCACTATACCTCTTTAACGGGCTTTGTTTGGGTGGCTCACTTTAACTGGGCCATGATTAGTCTTGCAGCCCTTGCTCTACGCTCCAGGATTTTTTAGGCTTGCTCACAAAGCCAGATGCTCTACATATTTCCTTTTAATTTTTTAATTTTTTTTTATTTCTTAATAATATTACTTACTATAAACTTGTTTTTTTTTAGTAACATTACTTTCAACTATTTTCATTAATACCTATCAGGGCCTACATATACCTCAAAGTATGCATGATTTTCAATTATTCTGCTTTTAATACAATACTGAATATTTTTTTGAACAGTATTGTTCTTTAAATGATAAAAATGTGTCTTTGCATCTACCTGGACAAGATTCTTCATTACAAGGTTTAGTTTCATTTAGTGCACCAGGGCAATCATCTCCACCATAAAATGGCCCATAGCATGTTCTGTTTCTCCAAATAATTCCACCATTACATGTTTTAGAGCACTCACTCCATTCACCCCAATTCATTAATACTCCATTCACTGAAAACATACAATGACAAGAACAGGTTACTACACAAATCTGAAACTTACCGTCTACATAGAATTTTAGCTTTTCTAAATGTCACTATCATAGTAAGTGACTTTATCCTTCATCAACAATGTAACTTGATTATTAAAATTATAGCCGTATAGACTAGAAGACCAGATTTTTTTTACCTCTAATGTAAGCCTACAATAAATTAAAACTAAAAACTGAGACGATTATATTCAAAACTAGTTATAAAATGTACATGATTAAAAGATACAAGCTTCATGCAAACATGCATTGTTCTTTACATGCTGATTTAATAACATGCATAATATAATTGGCATATAAAATGAATTTAAAAAGTGTCTGTGAGGTGACGTTGAGTAATGACTGCTTACCAATAATAGTTTGAATTAAAGTTCAAAATATGTTTTGATCTTAACATGTGGTAAGTTACTCAGTTCACATATTAGTTTTCCTGATCATTATATTATAATTTAAAAATTTAAAAACTGTTTATACATATTACAAGAATATGATATGCATGCTATTAAAAAATTTATGATATTAAAAGAAATTTAATGTGATAAATGTTTTTAATCCATTAGTTCAGTTAGCAAAACTCAAGGTTTTCTGAAAAGATATTTTAATACAGATAAATTAAAGTTAAAATTTAGACATTTCAGCACTTTCTAATCAGCACAATTCCTAATGTTTATATCTTTTAATATTTTACAATAATTATTAAATTTAAATTATAGGTTAAGGATAAAAGCAACTTGACAAATTATTTGGACAACTTGCATAAATTAAATAGCTATATTTCAGGAGAGGGTTTCTAATTTTTTTTTAAAATGATATGAGTATTTCTTTAACTTTATTATGATGATAAATTATCAACGTACCAGGACAATCCTTAAAGTTACAGATGCTATTTTCCTCCAAAGAACCGTTACAGGGACGTCCACCATTTAGTGGAGCGACACAGTACCGGCGCCTTATTTTATAACCTACACCACAGGAAATATTACAACTTCCCCACGTTGTCCATGGGGTGAGTATACCATCAACTGTAACAGATATAGCAAGTCTGTTCACGCATCTATTTCAATTTATTAAAGGGAGGTAAGACTGAGAATATAGTATTTGTATTTTATGCTACTTATTGCACTGAACTGCAATAACTGGTTGCTTTTTTTGCTAGGAATGAACAACTAAGAAACTAAAATTTGGTAAAACATGCTTGGTTTTAAAATGTACTCCATTCTTTCATCACAATATTTTGAATCACCATAATATATTTAAAAAAGTGATTGAGTGAATCCTTGTTTTAAATAGTCACAAGGCACCACTTTATATACATCTAGTTAACCATAAAATTGTGATGTTTATGTACTTATACAACATACTTTTAATTTAAATTTGAATTTTAAAAAGTGATGAGTATTTAAAATGATCTATCTAGATAGAATAATTTTGAAGAGATGGACTTGTGTAGTTGCACATACCAGGGCAGTTCGAACTGCTACAAGTTTTTGTATCACTCCAGTTCCCTGAACAATTGTGACCACCAAAAAAAGGTCCAATGCAATCTCTCTGCCGGACCTGTAGTCCGCTACCACATGTCACACTACATTGGTTCCACTCTGACCACAACGCCCACACACCGTCCACTAATTATTGGCAATGGACAATGATAACACTTATCAGAATGAGATCCAATTTTTAATAACTTCTGCACTTTCATACACAAATTAAAGTAATTTTTTTTTTATTCGCCTATTCCTAACGATTAATATTCTATTTACAATTTTACTAACCAAAACATTCTACAAAACCACATTTGTGTATGTAAATTTTTATGAAGTTATTAAAAATCCACTAAAGTTAACACAGTTCAAATAAATTAAAAGTAGATGTTATACATTTATACACATATGAAGAGAAAAAGATATAATATGTATGGTATTAAAATGCAAAGCAGTGAAAAATGACGCTGCGCAGATGCAAGAATTTCTATTTAAAAAAAGCATGGTGCGCTAACAGCAAGTAATTAAGGAACAGCTAGCTAATAGAAGGAAAATTATTCAATGGAACTTGTCAAGCAGCGATTCTGTTGCAGAGGCAAAACTTGGGAAAAATCTTTACTGTAGCTACAGTATTACACTTTAAATCATTCATATAACTGCTATCATCAAGTAATTCAAGTTAATAAAATAATTTAAAAAGTTAATGTTCTTAAATATTCTACTCACGAGGCTTGCCTGACGCTGTGCAAAGTATGCAGGTAAATGATCGCTAGAGCTTTGCTTTTGTTGTTGGCAAAATCAGCAGTTATGTTTATAAAGGAAAACAGCTGCAGGAACTATATTTGCATTTGCATAATAGGAGTAGACAAGGTTTTTAATAAACCTGTTGTTTTTTAATCATGGAGATGCAGCAAAAGGAAAATCGCATGCCAAATTTGATGCAAGTATTAAATGCAATGGCACAATGTAAAGTATAAAAATAGAATAAATAATTTTGTATGTAAATAAAGAAACAACAGATGCTTACCTTAGTGTTCCTGCTGGACAGAAAAAGTTTTGACCAGTGCAGTAACAAAATCCACCAGTTATAGTTATAAAGTGAAATTTTAAGTGTAGCCAGTAGCTACAAAACAAATATCTGAAACTAAAGTCTTGTGTTATTATAAATTCACAATCAAATTAGACAGTTCTAGAAACACTATTTACTTTCCAAATACTATATTTTTGCTTGGGATATAATTACACAGCACTCTTAACACACTTTTAGTTACTAGGTAAAAACCACATTCACTTCAATATTTTGTGATTGGTTATCATTCTCAGAGCTAAAATATTTACATGCATCTAACATAGAACTTGTAATTTTGTGATGGAAATAGCTTTTTTTTAAAGTTTGTTTACACTAAATTAGTTATTAGCAGGGGAAATGGATAAAAGCAGCAGCAGCTACTTACTATTCCATCATTGATTTAAAGCACATAGCTCATTTCACATAATCAAGCATGTTGATTTAACATAAGCATTTCCATAACTGACACTACAACAGAAATTTACTACTAGCTTTCATCTCTGTTATTCATACATAGAAGGACTGTTGTATAATTTTTACAATTTCTCATATTCAGAATATGGAGCAAACTATTCTAACGGTTTCAGTCAGGGATATTTTTTAAGTGGTATTTTATTTCTAGTTTCTCGAAAGCCTTAGAATTAGATAATTTTATTTCACATTCTCATAAAACAGCATATTCTAAGATCTGTTATCCTCTGTTTTCAAATAAAATATGAGGGCTTTTGTGACAAACTTATCCTTCATTACTAAAGCCCAATTCTACTAAAAGTATAATCCCAACCCTTACTGTTATATGATAAAGTTAAGGGGTGCTCATACCTGCTCATTTGTTTATTTCTTTAAATTGATATTTAAATGCAAATCTTAAATGCTAATAAATATAGCTCACTTAAATGATAGCATTTTGGGGGGTGGGGGAGCAGTGATAGATAGATCGATCCTTTCTGGTTTAAATTTTGTAATTATATAGGGTTAACATAAATCAACTACACATTTCAACAAAAATTTAACAAAATATTCAAAATAGTCTAAAATTTATGCATATCATGCTTACATGCATAGGCTGTTCTACTACACATGCTCAGAACATAAATATGGGTGCCACAAGAAAAGCATGATATTATCAAATATGACTAGGTCTAGATATTTTAGACAAAGCATTTTAATCCACTATTACATAGACGAATTCCTAAGAAATTATGTTTTAGTAAATTTTATTTTCACTCTTTAAACTTCAAAATAAAAATTTTACTTAATTGGCTTACAAAATATTTTAAAGAAGTCAGACAATTAATTTTAACTTTAATTTTAAATTTACACTGCAATCAATAATGTAGGAATACGTGTGAAAGCCAGAAAGCCAAAGTTTAAATGTATTGAGCGATATACACAAAAAAGCCATGCAATGAGGTTATTTATATAGAGCATCTCACACAGAAAACAGGTCATGCAGTATGAACAAAATGGTTTTGGCTCATTTTATTCAAGTATAGTGATAACTATTGGGAAATAGGTGAATATATAACATACCTGAGCAGTTTTGAATGTTGCAACTTCTCTCTTCTTTAGTAAGTCCAGTACAGTTTGCTCCACCATAGAAGGGTCCTTGACATTCACGATACCTGGCTTGTGAGCCACTGCCACATGACTTGCTGCAAGATTCCCATTCTGTCCAGGGCAACCATGTTCCATCCACTAGGAGCATTAGGTAAGTCAATTAGAATTTTATACAGGATTTTTGTTTTCAATTTTTTCTTTTTTTAGAAAACAATTTTTTTTTAATTTCTCTAACAGCCACATGCCATTCACTATGATTATGTAACATTATAATTTTATTCAGAATTTGTTTTTAAATTTTAGAATAAAATTTTTTAAAATTCTATAACAGCCACTAAGAAAATTTTGTTAATTAGAATTTTATTCAAGTTTTTTTTTTTAATGTTTTATTTTATTTCAGAATAAAACATTTTTAAAATTTCTTTCAGCTGGATCATTTCAGTAATAAAAAATATAACAGAATTCCTCATCAGATTACTAACATTTAATAAGCAGCAGCTTTCAATGAACAACAAAGCTGAGTAGGCTATTTTAAAAAGTCAAGGAAATAAAAGCTAAAAACTTAATTTGTTAACCTTTGAATAATAGAAATATTAGTTTGTTTTGGTCTCATTTAAATTTTAATCAATTTTAACCAAACAAACATATTTCTTAATTAGTATGATTGAAGTGCGTTACTTCAAAATTAAAACTATAAATTAATGCACAAAGTATTCACATATTAAAAATGTTTATAAATCACAGACATCTGTGTTTACATATAGGAATATAAAGTGTTGTACAAAATAAAAGCCCATTTGTTACCTGGACATTGGTTATCATTGCATGAGCTTTGTTCACTACCACTTCCTGTACAGTTTTTACCACCATACAGCCCCAGGTAGCATTCCCTGTGACGGACACGAGTGCCACCACCACAAGACACAGAACACTGTGACCAGTTCTCCCAATCCATCCACTGGCCATCCACTGAAGAGCATAGTTGAGTAAAGCATTCCCCAGTTTGATGCACTTCTGCTCATGTTTACTACCATAGGTAGACTTTATGTTGTGTTGTTGTGATATATAGTAAAATGTGACAGAATTATAGGAATACTTGCAAAGTTGTGGAGATTGCACTTCCCATTCGTTAAAGGGTAAATAGTATATTTCAAGCTAAATTATACCCTTTATACTTTAGAAATTATCTTCATTAAATGGAATAGAAAAAAATCTAGCTGATATTAATCCTTCAAATTTACTGTAAGAATATCAGACATACATGGTCAAAAATTTATGTAACTCCACAGCTTTGCTAAAATATAAAAAAATATGGAATGTTGTAATATATTTTCTTTTTACATTTAAGTAATTAGTATTTTAATGTTAAGCTCATATGGCAATGATATATATGGATATATTGTATACATAGCAATACATGCAGGTGTGGTTATTGTTGGTATTGCTTTTAATACATCTACAATACATAAGGACAAAATACAATATGTTAGTTGTCATGCTAAGGTGAGTTAACAGAAACATATACACATACTGATGTGGTCAGTTAAAACACACCACATCCTACCTGGGCAGTTCTTAGGGCGACACATTTGAGTTTCATTAGCTGCACCTTGGCAAGGTGTTCCTCCATAATAAGGGCCGGAACAAGAGCGAGTTCTGGACTGCGAGCCATTACCACATGTAACACTGCAGTCTGACCAGTTGGACCAAGTACTCCATACCCCATCAACTATAATACACAAAATAGTACTTGGCGTTATAGTACACTATGAGAAAATGTAACTGTTTTCATAATAAAATAAGATGCATAAGTTCAATTTTAATCAATAGATACTAAGATAAGAATTTCAGGTTAAGTATTGTCATAAAAATTTTATCCCACTTTTAATAAGTTTTAGCAAAGATTTTTACAATAAATTTATACTGTCAATACAACTATGTTTCTTCTTATAATTTTTCTGTAATTGTGTAGTTTAGCTAATTAAGTCCTGTGTGTACCAAAATAGACCAACCATACACAAGTAACTGATTAATGTGTAACACCAGACTGGCATCAACTACTTGTGTATGGTTGTAATGTTTTCAAGCTGCTTTTTTTTTTGGCTGTTTTTCTTTTTGTATGAAATTCTAGGTTACTATTAGTTATTTGAATAAACAAAAAAAAAATCAAATCATGCATAGGAAAGGTTATGATATACAACTAAAGCAATATCTTTTTGCTGTAATAATACACTGTCTGTGACGAAAAAAAAACAGCCAACAGCAGTATTTATTTAAATAAAAACCACACACTGGGACAACTCTGTTGATTACAGATCCTAGTTTCTTCCCCTTGGCCATTGCATTGAGCACCACCATTCAAAGGTTGTTGGCACTGTCTGACTCTACGCTGCTGACCACTGCCACAGGTCAGTGAGCACTGGGACCAGGATCCCCACTGCAGCCATTGTCCGTCAGCTAAAATTTCAGAAATGTGTTACTCCTTTACTTACGTCTTTATTCTACTCAACAATTGGAAGTTTAATTCCAGAATTGTTTGAAAATAAAAAAAAATAAAAGTAAATGGCAAAGAAGTAATTGTAAAGAAGAGAATTAGCTGCATTCTGTTGTTTTTTTAGCAAGCGTGAAAGCTTCAAATCACAATACAGTGAGTACACAAAAAATTACTTTCTCATAGTCTAATAGTCTAAACATTACTAATTTGTAAGCTAAATTAAGTAAAGAATGACCTGTTTTGATGAGTGATTTTATTTTTCCAAATATAATGAAAAGAATGTATTACTTTAATGATTTTCAGAAAATAATACATGCTCTAGCTATTAGTCTTAAGGAAAAAGACCTATTCTAAAAAGCCCAAACAGCAAGTCATATAATGACTGCAATTTAATCCCAACATACAACTTTTGTTTGATCAAGTATTTTAAAATTTTGGCTTTTAAATTAAATATAACATTATAAATCATTGTTAAATAGGTATACGTGATACTGTTTAAAGTTATGTAATCATTGTTTAAAATGTTTACAAGTGCCTATTTGCATATAATTTGACTTTATATTTATGTGGAATTGAAATCCTCTTCAATTACCGGTAGAAAAGTTAATCTTTTTCTTCCATAATTTAGAATGACATCTGATAATTCATAACTTCCTATGCAATAAACTCAGCTTCACTGGAAATGAAACAAAATGCAAGTCATTTTCATGTGAACAATTTTAAACTTCAATTAAGTAATTTATATAGGGTAGCAAATTATCTTAATTCAGTACATAAATATATTATCCAATGTTAGGCCCTATTATTAGAATAGCATTCTATTTCTGGCACATTAGTAAAAGGATAATGACAAGAAAGATCTTATGCACAATTTAAGTCAGAAAATATTAAGTAAATTAGATTACTAAACTTTTAGTTTTGTCAATAACCTTCCCATGAAAAACTAAAAAATCTTGGTACTTCTCTGTCCATTTGACTTTACATATAATTTTTACACATGTGTTTACAGTAATTAGTAAAAACACCCATAGTGGAACAATTTTTAAAGTAAGAAAGGTGAGGAAAGGATGAACGGTAGGCCCTTTAAAGCTAATGACATATAACTCATCTCACTTTGGAATTCACAGTGTCAGGGGAAGACCACTATTCTTTATATATTAACAATGTATATTTATTATATGTTTTTAATTAGCAACTCCACATGAACATACTGAGCTATGAGGTGGTTTTAATTGACAAGACAGTGGTTTGAAAATTTCAGTCTCCAGTATGAAACTAAAAATGGTGTTTTTTTCTTAAGTTAGTACTAATATCACTTTAAAAAAACCTAGTCTAGAATCTAATACCTCAAGCACTTTATAAAAAAGTCTATCAATAAGTCAACTGAATGCTATTGACACCATATTTTTCTTTAATATTGCTGCATTGCTCTGACTCTACTGACCCCTCACACTATAATTCTGACTCTATTAATGACACTATCTCTTTTGTTAAGTAGCAATGTTGTCAACACTGCATCACTAGTGATATCTAGGCTTCCTTACATAGAATAGGCCATGTCTTACATAGTAAATTATAAAATTTAAGTTCTCTATAAAAAAAAAGTAAATGCTTACCTCAGTGTGAAAAAATTTGAAGACAGGTTTGATACAATGTCATAAAAATTGCGATAATTTCGAAAACGGTGCCAACATTTTATAAAATAATAATGTTATATTCTGGAAACGGCAACTTCTGACATGTAAGCATCCGGTAATAGTGCCAACCCTGGCATAAAAATATTTCATTTTTTAAAAGCTTTAATTAACCAATCCTTCTTTAGTCACCATAAAAATTATCAAAAATTTAACATTAACACACTGCCATTTATTAGAATAAAAAAAGAACCACAATTAAAACAGGTTAGCAACTGTGCAGAACATTCAATTTATAATAATAATAATAATAAAAATTATGTTAGCGCCAAACTAAAAAATATATTTATTAATTAATAATATTCTTTAATATGACACTGTCTTAGGGCCCCGATACTACATTATATATATATATATATATATATATATATATATATATATATATATATATATATATATATATAAAATTTAAAACGGTATCATACAGATATTATACAAAACAAAAACAAGTTTTTGTCCCACCCCTTCTTCATATGATATTACTCCTCCTGCTCCAGATTAAATTTCTAGGAATCACTGCCCCCACCAGCCAATCATGACACGATATGGTAGATTACAACAAGATGTTTCATTTTTTAAGTAAATTACAGGTAACCCATTCTTGCAGCTTCATTTGAAAAAATTGTAAAGCCTGTTTAAAAGAAGATAATGTGTTAACAGTAGTGAGTTGTTTTTTATCCACATCTAAAATTTAAACGGCTAAATTTTCTGAAACAAATTTGCTCTAAAAAAATAAAGGAATTTTTAGATCAAGGCCTATGATTTATATTATTGTATTATTTTACCACCACTCTAGCCCATAAAAGTCAATAATTCACTAACATATTAAATAATAGATATTATTTGGGCCTACTAAAAAAACACCATTCTACTCTTTTTGTATTATTTGTTATATAGATCTAGAACTAGATTCTAGATCAAATATAATAGCATGTGCACAATCCCAGAGTAAACTATAATTTACGAGTCCATTTAAATTAAGCTCAGATATGATTTTTGACTAACCTATCATCAGATATTTTCAAGGATCAACTCTCTAAGTATTCTGTCATTACAATGGTATTGGTATCACTCACAAAAATGCTCTAAGGGGAGACTAATTTTTTTATAAAAAAAAGACTGTACTGTACAGTAACAGTATGTGAGTATAAAAACTTGAGAGTGGTTTTTGTAGGAATTTTGTGCAGATTTTACCCTGTTCATTCTAGATCTAGTCTAGATCTTTTCATGGTCTACTGGGCCTATGAAATTAATGCCATTAAAATTAAAACAGTTATAATGAGTGTTTCTTTCACAGCGATTCTCCGGGGGGGGGGGGGGGGGGGCACTATTAAAATTAAAAGCAGATCTATATTTTCTAAATATACAGATTACAATTACAATAAATATATATTATAATATATATTTCTTGTTCTTCAGGGGGGGGGGGTAGCCATGCTTCAGGGAGGGGTACTGCCTGAAAGGAACTGATTAAAAAATAAATCTAAATTTCTAGATTTCTGGTTTCTGCTGTAATCTATAATAAGATCTAGATCTATATAATATATTAGTGCGTGGTAATCTATCGTTTTTTTGGGTACGTGTAAAATCGCCTGCGGCCCCTAATTCTAACCATTCTAAGATCTAGATCTATATAGATCTAGATCTAGATGTCTAGATATATTGTAGTTTTAGAATCTGGACGGATTATTATAAACTTTATAGATCTATCTAGCCCTAAATCTAGATACAAGTAGATCTAGATTTTGGTGAGATTTAGAATTTACTTGTATTAAGTTTGGTTGAAGAACATTTTACATTTTACAGATTTGCCAGATTTCAAAAAGAAAAACAGCCAAGCAACCAAATAGCTCCACGGCAATACAAATAGAACTTTATCATCAATATCAAACCAATCACCCAATATTCAAAGTCAATACATCACATCGGAATAGGTTACTAAATCTAAGGATCTAATCTAGATTCAGGATTGGGGTTAATTTGTACAAAAAAATACCGCTCAAAAGAAGCAACAACTTTTTAGCCGAAGCAGCAGCCACTAACAATTATACCTAAAGGTTCTTTCCACAAATGTGCTTAATAAAATTGATAAGCTTTTATACTAGGAACACATCGTATATAGTTTATTAGTATAGGCATAGACTTAGATCTATGTATTAGTTCTAGATCAAGAAATTTAACTAGGTATAAAATTAGGTAGGTTAGATATAAGATCTCTAGAATCTAGGTCTAAGCCAAATGAACAAAAAAGAAACGTTGTCTTGACCATTTGTCCTCAAAATATAAATGCTTAATAATTGTAAATAGTCTTCTATATATATCTACTAGAAACTATATAATAAAATAATAATAAAACACCAATAAAAATTGTAAATATGTTGGGTAATTTTATTTCTTTATACTAGACTTATATATAAGATATGTGGTCCATAATAGATTCTTACATCAGCCTGTAGGCCTGCAAAAACTATCTGAGTTACTGTCATGTAAATAAATTACCTAGGCCTACTTATATTAATAGCACCTCAAAGAACACAAATAGTTTTATATTAGTCATTTATTAAAGGTGCGAAGGCTTTATTTAACGTTTTTCACATTTGACATTTATTATCTACAATATTTTTTACAATATTTTAAATGTATAAAATTCTATTAATCTTATATATGACCTAAGAAAGTGTTGCTGTTTAAATTAATGAAGAATAGTCACTATGAGTGTATGCTATATTATATAGGCCTCCTATCTTTGAGTAAGATGTTTAATTCTAAATGTATTAATTAATTAATATTGTATGCATAAAATGAAGGTGCGTGGCATACAGTGTGTGACGTCTCTAAACACAGGTGACAGGCTACTAGCTACAAACACGTGAGAGTTAAACACTTTACATGGCTCCACGGGCGTCGTCGGCACTGCAACGCAACGCAACATAGACTTGGTGGTGAGTACATGGACGTTATACAAGGTGTGGCTATGTCTTTGTTTGATAACTACATGTCTAGCTTTGTGTGTGTGTCTCAGCGACTATAGGCTAAATTTCATAAGTTGTTTTTTTAAATAGTTATCCTATTAACAAACATGCCTATGACATTTAACTTTGTAAATAACAATTATGTGTTGCTGTTATAGCCAATAAGAAATGATCTGTTTTTTTTTTAAATCATAAAAAAATTACTAAACAAGTTTGTTCTACACTTACTCATTTAAATCGATTAAAAATATCTATTATAGGCCTACTATTTCCATGAAAAGTAAATTATTTTATTTAGAATTTTATAGCCTGATGGCATACAAGTATTGCATGATTTACAACAAAGTTTTACAAATACAAAAGTGTGATTTATTGTAATTATTTAAACTAATTACGATAGATATAACAATATAACAATATATATATATATATATATATATATATATATATATATATATATATATATATATATATATATATATATATATATATATATATATATATACATAGGCCTGTATGAACTTATATGGTGATGAAATATATGAGAAGCAATGATGGAAAAGACAATGATATATTTATTTTAACGATAGCCAAAGATGAAGAGAGAAAACAGGAATACGTAAGATGTAAATTAGCAAGATATCAATTAGTAACAATCTATGAAAAATATCTAGCATTTATAGATGTATAAGTATAAACTACATAACTGTACATTTTTTTTAATGTGTGTATTCTTTGAAAGTGTGCAGCAGTCTAGAAAATTACATTTTTAGTGGTCGGCAGATTAAAAAAAAAACCAACGCATGCTCAGTCACCCAGTACAATCGCGGGCAGTTAATTAAATCAATCAATTTCTTTATCAATAAAATCACTAAATAATGTACCAGGTCCATCTTATGATCTTTTTATTTACAGAAATTTTTTTTTTTTTACTTGTAATTGCTACGACAAAACTATTAAATCATGAATAAGTTTTCTCAAATCATTCTTTTAAATAGACGTTAAAATTGACTTCGAAGAAAAGAAATTTAACACTATTCCTATCAAAAAGGACGAACCTGTTTTGTACTTCACCCTTTTCAGGGCAAGAGGACTTGTTCTAATATCTATATTATTTTCGAACTTTCTTTAGTTTTTTTTTAAAGTCACGTTACAATAATTTAGTTAGCCAGCAAATGTAGGATGGTAAATTTAGTTTTAATGACTGCCAGAGCAGTAAAATCTTCACAGTACGTTTCAAGTTCATTCCTAAGAGTGATTGGATTTGCATTTTTAATCAGGGATGGGCATCTAAAGGGAAGAGGTACGTCCATTTTCTTGCATAATTCAACGTAATTGACGTCACGCAGTCTACTCTCGCGTGATTGTAAGCACGCAAGTCTGTAAGCGTGTGTGCGTCTGTACTCATATCTGTAAGCTTGTGTATGTGCCTTGTGTCTTTGTGACTATCTGTGCTCTGGTGTGTCTGTGTGTGTCTACAACTGGTTATGTAATTTGCATATTACATTGTGTCTGTATGTCTTTTTTCGTTTCTTGAGTAAGGCTAAGTGTGTGAATGTATGTGTGCGTTAAAATAATGTGTCATTTCGTTTGGTCTACAGCTTATACAAGTGTTACATTCAAGAAATGTAGTACTACTTAATGTAACACTAAGAGTGCCCGATGAACCAGTTAGCTTACTTGGACATGGAGGGGATGAGCACACCATGATTTCTGTGTCGTTCCCGGGGCAGGGGAGTCCGCCATACATTGGGCGTGGCTCACTGCACTGTCGGGTCCTGGTCCTGGTGCCATTCTCACAGGACACGGTGCAGTCACTCCAGGAGGACCACAGGCTCCAGACCCCGTCAACTGCAGACGAGAGAGGAGATAGGGGTTCATGATGGAAACTGTTATCTAATAGGAGTGAATCCTAGTTGAGAACAGATAGGGGTTGATGCTGGAAACTGATATCTAATAGGAATGAATCCTAGTTGAGAGGAGATAGGGGTTGATGCTGGAAACTGTTATCAATTAGGAGTTAATCCTAGTTGAGGGGAGATAGGGGTTGATGCTGGAAACTTATCTAATATCTAATAATTCGAGAAATTTGAGGATTAACAGAATTTCAAAAGGAAACTTGCCTATACTTGCATGCACGAATAGCCCTCGCCTTAATTTTTTAATATAATGCAAACTAGAATTAGTCTAAGTTGTGATCAGAACAAAGTAAGGCTTAAGGTTAGAAAAGCCGAAGTAGAATGGTCTCATAGTAGTAAATATACCTCACGACACCACTTATTATTGCACTAGTAATAAAACAGGTAGTCCTTATAAATTACCATTACACTGGAATCATCCCAGCCCCACTTACTATTACACTGTCACCACTTACCATTACACTGAACACCACCTGGCACCACTTACCATTACACTTACACCACTTACCATTACACTGAACACCACCCGGCAACGCTTACCATTACACTGAACACCACCTGACACCACTTACCATTACACTGAGCACCACTTACCATTACACTGACCCCAGTTACCATAAGACTGAACACCACTTATCATTAGACTGAACACCACTTATCATTAGACTGAACACCACTTACCATTAGACTGAACACCACTTACCATTACACTGAACACCACTTACCATTACACTGAACACCATTTACCGCCACACTGAACACCTTCTGACACCACTTACCACTACACTGTCACCACTTACCATTACACTGACACCAGTTACCATTACACTGTCACCACTTACCATTACACTGACACCAGTTACCATTACACTGACACCAGTTACCATTACACTGACACCAGTTACCATTACACTGAACACCACCTGACACCACGTACCATTACACTGAACGCCACCTGACACCACTTACCATTACACTTACACGACTTACCATTACACTGACACCACCAGACACCACTTACCATTACACTTACACGACTTACCATTACACAGACACCACTTACCATTACACTGAACACCACCCGGCACCATGCTGTTGTCGCTACATCTGCCGTTGGTTGCATTGAGCACGTTGTGTGAGCACTCAGCAAAATTCTTCTCCGTGCCGTTACATTTGATGCTTGTCAAGCCGAAGCGACCAGTACCCATCCCGAACCTCGCATCCTTGATTGCTTTTTGGAGAGTTCAAACATAATAATAAATTATTATTAATTATTCTTGAAATATACATGACAGAATGTCTTATCCTAATCGAATCGCTGACCCATACTTTGATTCTAGGGGTCATCCATAAATGACTTCACGATTTTTGGACGAATTTACCTCCCACTCCCCTCCGTCACACGTCGTCACAAAAAAGCCAGACCCCTCCCTAAAATGACGTCACACCTCAGCCTACAACCCCCCCCCCCCTCAAAATTGCTTTTGAATTTTTCTTAAAACATCGATATTTTTCCAAAATCTTGTCGGAACTGAGTATTTTGATCAGTTCCTATTACAATTTATTAAAACCGTTTTCTAAAATGCGAAATAGCAGCCTAAAATCGTTTTCTAACATTGCTTTTTTATAATGCAAAAAAAGTGACGTCACACCATCTGAACCCCTCCTCCCCCTCATCACACACCGTCACAAAATTACGGACCCCCCCCCCCCTTCCGCCCTACGAGTGTGACGCCATTTATGGACGACCCCCTAACAGAAAATTTGTATACACGAAGCTGTTTGATCGTGACTACGATTTTATAATATTTATAAGAACTCATTATGCTAATGCTGTAGAACTTTAACTGCTAAACGTTGAAAGGTTTGTGTGTTTTGGATAATCCTGGATAAAAGTTATGAAAAGTTACCTGCATGTCCACCTGCCCACCTGGCCTGGCGACAGATCAGGTTGGCGATGTAATCTGTCATCTGATTGGCGCAAATCTGGCTCCAGTTCTTGTTGATGTCGTTATAGAACTCCACCCGTCCCTCGCCTGGGTAGGTGCCGTTGATGATACTTATCGGCCCTGGACAAGGTCAACAGCTTATGTTACGGCTATAGCTACAAGGTCAACAGCTTGTGTTAAGGCTATAGCTACAAGGTCAACAGCTTGTGTTAAGGCCATAGCTACGGTGTTATGTCACTGGCTTAGCATCACCTGATTGTGTGTGAGTTTTGTGTTGATATAGAACTAGAAGTGTTTACGTGAGGATTGAAAGCGTGTGGCAGTGTGTGGCAGTTGGTGAGTGATAGTGTGTGTGTGTGGCAGTTGGTGAGTGACCGTGTGTGGGTGTGTGGTAGTTGGTGAGTGACAGTGTGTGTGTGGCAGTTGGTGAGTGACAGTGAGTGTTAGTGTGTGGCAGTTGGTTGGTGTGTGTGGATTGAGAGAGGACGTTGACGGGTGTGTTAAGTATTGTGTTATTGTGCAGTATCCCATAGAAGAAGAAAACTTGAATAAAGATCAAATATGGCGGCCAACAGACTCTAGACCCACCAACAGAAGATGTATAAAGATGAAACATGTCGACCAACAAGACCCACCTCGACAGAACATGTATAAAGATGAAACATGTCGACCAACAAGACCCACCTCGACAGAACATGTATAAAGATGAAACGTCGGCCAACTAGACCCACCTCGACAGAACATGTATAAAGATGAAACGTCGGCCAACTAGACCCACCTCGACAGAAGATGTATAAAGATGAAACATGTCGGCCAACATCGACAGAAGATGTATAAATATCAAATATGTCAACCAACAGATACTAGACCCACCTCGACAAACGATGCCATAGCAGGGCGTGGTTTGGTTGCTCATCCCTAAACAGTACCGGTCAACTCCTATCGTCCCACCGTTAGTGCACGTGCGTCGTCTGACCTGTATGCCCTGCCCGCACGTGGTCTGTGTGGAGCAGTCACCCCACTCACCCCAGGGGCTCCAGCCTAGGATCAAACAACAAAACTCTCTGAGCTGTACAAGATAAACCTAAATAGTGAAATGCTAATTGTAAATATGAAGATTATTATTATGAAACTAACCGATCTATTTTTTTATGAGAGAACGAGATATTGAATGAAATTTTAATATTTGGAAATAGGCCTACGCCAAGGAAAAATTCACAATTATCAGTTATTGTGAATTCAAGTACTATTGGCTTTCTTCAAGTAAAAAGTGTTTCTGAGTAAGGTTAATTAGAGCCCTTTGTTTGCCAACTGTTTACTAACGTATGTAACCATGGTGACTCACGGGGGCAGCTCTGCAGTTCACAGATGCCATATTCCTGCGCCGCCCCATAACACAGCGTAGGGTTGATGGTCTGCTGTGTAGCAGCGTCCTCACAGACTCTAGTTCTCAGTTTCCAGCCCTTCTCACAGGTGGCAGAGCAGGAGCTCCAGTCGCCCCAGGTGGTCCATTGTAGACCTGGATCTAAACACAGTGGGAACACAAAACATTCACGACATGAACACTACATCCATGGGGTGTGTTAAACTATAGAAATAAGTCTTTTGCAGCTTTTTAAATGCATACATATACCCTATATATATATATATATATATATATATATATATATATATATATATATTGTGCCTATATTTAAATAGGATATATATATATATATATATATATATATATATATAATTCCTATTTATTAATATAAATTAGCATGAAAGTAGCTTAATTATATACAGCTGATAGGATAGTTTTATATTTAACTGTCTTTAAATAGTGATGAGGGTTCAGCATAGACACATTTAAAGTAGGCTATATGCTTGTGTGTAAGAAAAAGGTTAGATCAAGATTTACACTACCCCCCTAACACACACACATACACACGCCCATCCCCTCTCAACCACCAGATGGAACAAAGTCTTACCCCGCACATCGCATGCCGTCCCTTTCCAGCCGTCGTCACACAAACAGATGGGGATGAGTCCACCTGTAGCAGCCCGCGTCTCCAGGCACCGTCCTCTGGAGTTGCAGGGGTCACCGTAACACGGGCCTAGAGCTTCCTGTGGGGGGACAGGTTACATCTACAACAACCATGTGAATACGCATGTAGCAGCCCTATGGGGGGGGGGGGAGTTTACATCTACAACAACCATGTGAATAAACGTGTAACAGCCATATGGGGGGGGGGGGGGGAGTTTACATCTACAACAACCATGTGAATACGCATGTAGCAGCCATATGGGGGGGGGGGAGTTTACATCTACAACAACCATGTGAATAAACGTGTAACAGCCCTATTCTGTAGGCAACGCCTTCTAGAATTACACATGGCTCACATAGAATATCCCTTTGGGGTGGGGGGTGGGCATATTACATCTAAAACAAATTCTCAAATAGCATTTTGAAACATTGAAGGTACATTTCCATGAGCGAGTGCGGAACGACATTTTTTCGTTGTTTAAAATAGATCTAAGCGTATTTAGCAAACATTTTAAACAGTAACCTAACCCTAAACCAAAAGCCAAAGGCCAGGTCTAACCTATTTAATTCCAACCAAATCACTTGATCTAAAGCTAGCTATAATTTGCCCTCAAATTGGTCGAAAACCAGTTAATAGTAGTTTTAAACTTCGCGTCAGTTTTGTTTTTTTCACAGCAAGGAAAGCGCACTTTACTAGCGCCAATCGGGACAACCCGAATAGAAAGTTCTCTGAACGCTTTGTGAAATATACCGGAAATAAATCTTTTTGGCAAAGCTATCAATATCTATCAAAGAAATGCCAAATATTGTGGATTTTTTCCAGCTTTTAATGTTGGTTTACTGAAGGGAACCAGTTTATATTCTAAACTGAGATGTGTTTGTTATTGTTAACTATTTTTATATAAGGTCTTACGAACTTCCAGTTGAATTTAATGAACCTTGATTAGACTTAAAATATTTCAATTCCGGATTTGTAAGTCTACAGTCTACGTAACTAGATCTGTTAGTTTGTGCTAGGCTGATCTTTGTGTATAAGGGTAGCGTGTTTGACATCCAATAACTCTGAAAAGCGACCGTGATTTTGGTGTGAAGGTTTTCCACTGAGATCTTGCATCACTGAAGTGGGAAGCAGTTGGTTGAGAATGCCGTGCTTTAAAGGCTGTTTCGGTAAGATCTCAGAGGGTAACCAGATGAAGAATAGAAGAAACAGTATGTACGGCGTCGCCAACGAGATGGAGGTCAAAGCTGGGAAGACGAAAAATGCCATGAACATAAAACTACAGATGGAGGTACTTTTCATAAGATTTATGTTTTCTTTAGACGCGCCTAAAAGACAATACAAGGTACCATATTGTTTTTGTTAGGATTATTGTTAGTAGGGAAACGGCAGGCTGTAGCGAAGGAACCCGCAGGCAGATGTAAGCTAGTACAACAATGTTTGGGGACATTTTTTGGGGTACTGTTACATTGCCAACAACATCTCTAGTAGTAATCATGTTCTCCTGATATAAGTAGTAACGATTCCTTTTTAGAACTAGAGATCCATTGGACAGAAGAAGTAGAGTTCATATGTTTCTTGACCTCGGTATATGAAGGGATGGTGTGGTTACTATATTCGCTACCACCACATTCTCTGCCAAGATGTTTATTACTGGAAAACAAACAAGAAAGATAAAACCTGATCAACAAAACCGTAATGCTATGTATTGGTGTTTGATAAAGCCTGATCAACAAAACCGTAATGCTATGTATTGGTGTTTGATAAAGCCTGATCAACAAAACCGTAATGCTATGTATTGGTGTTTGAAAAAGCCTGATCAACAAAACCGTAATGCTATGTATTGGTGTTTGATAAAGCCTGATCAACAAAACCGTAATGCTATGTATTGGTGTTTGATAAAGCCTGATCAACAAAACCGTAATGCTATGTATTGGTGTTTGATAAAGCCTGATCAACAAAACCGTAATGCTATATATTGGTGTTTGATAAAGCCTGATCAACAAAACCGTAATGCTATGTATTGGTGTTTGACCCAGATGACAGAGGAGTTGTCTGCCTCCACCTACGGGCTCACGCCCCAGGGGGTGTCCACCAATCGTCTGGAGGCTCAGGACTTCTTCACGTTCAAGGAAATCGTGGGGAGCGGCGCCACGGGCGTGGTGTTCCGCGCCGTCTTCAAGCCGACCAGCGAGGTGTTCGCTGTCAAGTTCATCCCCAACTTCCGTCAGACCAAACAGATGGTCGTGCGGGAACTCAGTGTACTCAAGCTGTGCGGCAACTGCAGGTAGGGAAACAGGTGGCTGCAGGTAGGGAAACAGGTGGCTGTAGGTAGGGAAACAGGTGGCTGTAGGTAGCATACAGGTGCAGTTAGGTAGGGAAACAGGTGGCTGCAGGTAGGGAAACAGGTGGAGGTAGTAAAACAGGTGGATGCAGGTAGTGAAACTGGTGACTGCAGGTAGGGAAACAGGTGGCTGCAGGTAGGGAAACAGGTGGCTGTAGGTAGGGAAACAGGTGGCTGCAGGTAGGGAAACAGGTGGCTGTAGGTAGGGAAACAGGTTGCTGTAGGTAGGGAAACAGGTGGCTGCAGGTATGGAAACAGGTGGCTGTAGGTAGGGAAACAGGTTGCTGTAGGTAGGGAAACAGGTGGCTGCAGGTAGGGAAACAGGTGGCTGTAGGTAGGGAAACAGGTGGCTGCAGGTAGGGAAACAGGTGGCTGCAGGTAGGGAAACAGGTGGCTGTAGGTAGGGAAACAGGTGGCAGCAGGTAGGGAAACAGGTGGCTGCAGGTAGGGAAACAGGTGGCTGTAGGTAGGGAAACAGGCGGCTAGAAGAATTGGTGTTGGAGAAGTAGAGCGATGATTCCATCTCCAACACACGTGCAATAGTTTTCGAATACGAATAAAATTGATCACTGGAATCAAGATAATTGCATACCCCAGGTCAAATGAGTGAAAGTTGTAGTAGCAAAGTTGGGTAGTATAATGTAAGCACTGAAAACTGCATAACGTGCTAACAAAAACTTCATCAGTAGGATTTGGCGGTATACTTGTGAGAGTATAAGGTGTATTTGTTTTACTTACGCAAATGTGTGTGTATATATATATATATATATATATATATATATATATATATATATATATATATATATATATATATATATATATATATATATATATATATATATATATATATGAGTATTTTTAACGATTTTGCGTTCCTCGTCAGGTTCCTGATAAATTTTCATTCTCACTTCCGGGTTGATATCAACATGTATTTTGTTATGGAACTCTGTGAGGGAGGATCTCTGGAAGAGCTGTTGGAACCAAAACACGTCATACCACCAAAACTGGGAAAGTACGATACTTGTAAACATGTCAAGTACGATACTAGCAAACATGTCAGTACGATACTAGCAAATATGTCAAGTACGATACTAGAAAATACGTCAGTACGATATTAGCAAACATGTCAAATGTCATACCACGCCAAAACAAGTCAAATGTAGTTCTCCCAAAATTGGGAAGTCGTCTAGCACCTTATATCGGAAATTTCTCACTCCCCCCTCCCCTCCCCCAACGAACTGGGAATGTATAATGCTAAAGTATTTCAACTTTGTCTGTTTAAAACCCCAGGGTGTATATCAAAGAGCTGTCAGGAGCTTTGTTTTATCTCCACTCACTGAAGATCGTGCACAGGGACGTTTACTTGCCAAACTGTGTACTCACCAACAAAGGTGAGTCATGTTTAGAGCTAGTGTTGTTGTGTGAGGTGAGGTTGGTTGTGTGAGGTGAGGTTGGTTGTGTGAGGTGAGATTGGTTGTGTGAGGTGGGGTTGGTTGTGTGTGGGATAGGTTGTGTGAGGCTTTGTTGTGTGAGGTGAGGTTGGTTGTGTGAGGTGAGGTTGGTTATGTGAAGTGGGGTTGGTTGTTCCGGCGTAGCTAAGGGGTGAGGGCGGGGTAGCCGCTCGGGCTGACATCCCTGGGGCGCCACAACAGATGGAGTAATATTTTAAATTTTAGTTTACAATTATAAAACTGAATGCAACGCAGTACAGACTAAGGTTTACATATGTTCCACATCCCGCGTAGAAAAAAATCAAAACGATGGTGACAGACGCGTTATATATTTCCGCTTTTTATTTTCACTCCAAGTATTTTAATTAAATCGTTATCTTTGAAAAAAAGTTCATTAAAAAAACTTTAATGTAGCGAAACAATCATTTCTTAATCCCCACGATTTCTCTGACACCAGCCCACCTGAAGCTCTGTGACTTTGGGCTGTGCAGGACCATAGAGGACCCCCAGGGTGAGCTGCTGACGGACTGCGGCAAGCCGTGCACACGGGCCCCGGAGATCTACCTCGACAGGCCCTGCAGCTTCAGCATTGATTGGTGGAGCGTGGGGATTGTGCTGTACCGCTTCACGACTGGCTACCGGCCATTTCAGACGGACAAGTTGACGCAAGGGTAGGTTGATGGTTTTAAATCTTAGGTCTATGACCTAGATAACAATATTTCCATTTGAACTTCAGGTAACAGTTATCAAGGTGCCAATTTATTTCCCTGTCAATCCCAGGTACCAGTCGGTTACCATGGTAACTATATTTCCCTGTAAACCCCAGGTACCAGTCGGTTACCATGGTAACAATATGTCCCTGTAAACTTCAGGTATCATTCGGCGACACCAATATTTCCCTCTAAACCCCAGGTACCAGTCGGTTACCATGGCAACAATATTTCCCTCTAAACCCCAGGTACCAGTCGGTTACCATGGTAACAATATTTCCCTGTAAACCCCAGGAACTAGTCGGTTACCATGGTAACAATATTTCCCTGTAAACCCAAGGTACCAGTCGGTTACCATGGTAACAATATTTCCCTGTAAACCCCAGGTACCAGTCGGTTACCATGGTAACAATATTTCCCTCTAAACCCCAGGTACCAGTCGGTTACCATGGCAACAATATTTCCCTCTAAACCCCAGGTACCAGTCGGTTACCATGGTAACAATATTTCCCTGTAAACCCCAGGAACTAGTCGGTTACCATGGTAACAATATTTCCCTGTAAACCCCAGGTACCAGTCGGTGACCAAGCTGAAAGAGAAATACCCAGAGTGGCTGTTTGACGACCCAGACACCAAAGATTTCTGCCAGAAGCTGCTGATCAAAGACCCCAAGAGGCGGCTGGGGTCAGATAATGAGGTTTCGGACATTAAGGTAAACCAGGTCACATGTCTACAGAGGTGGCATCACAATTTACACGCATTACGTCACCTGTATACAGAGGTGACACCACAATTTACATGCATAACGTCACCTGTATACAGAGGTGGCACTACAATGTACACGCATGACGTCATCTGTCTACTGAGGGGGGATCACATTTTACACGCATGACGTGGTCACCTGACTACAGAGGTGGCACACGTGTAGATCATATGATTTACGTCACAGCACTGTTTACGTGTAGTGACCACATGAGTAACGTGTCTGCCCTTCTTGTTTACGTGTAGTGAGCACATGATTAACGTGTCTGCCCTTCTTGTTTACGTGTAGTGACCACATGATTAACGCGTCTGCCCTTCTTGTTTACGTGTAGTGAGCACATGATTAACGTGTCTGCCCTTCTTGTTTACGTGTAGTGACCACATGATTAACGTGTCTGCCCTAATGTTTACATGTAGTGACCTCGTGATTAACGTGTCTGCCCTAATGTTTACGTGTAGTGACCTCATGATTTACGTCACAGCCCTAATGTTTACGTGTAGTGACCTCATGATTAACGTGTCTGCCCTTCTTGTTTACGTGTAGTGACCACATGATTAACGTGTCTGCCCTAATGTTTACGTGTAGTGACCTCATGATTTACGCCACAACACTAATGTTTAGTGACAACATGATTAACGTGTCTGCCCTAATGTTTACATGTAGTGACCTCATGATTTACGCCACAACACTAATGTTTAGTGACAACATGATTAACGTGTCTGCCCTAATGTTTACTTGTAGTTTCCTCGTGATTAACGTGTCTGCCCTAATGTTTACGTGTAGTGACCACATGATTAACGTGTCTGCCCTAATGTTTACGTGTAGTGACCACATGATTAACGTGTCTGCACTATTCTCCTATCAACAGAACCACCCGTACTTTTTCGGTGTGGACTGGGAGGAGGACGAGGACATCTTCCATGTCATCGAGCTGGACATGCAGGGCCACGACATCGAGCGCTACGCCACGGTGGCCAACAAGATCTTACAGATCGTGGGCCACAATGAGGTTCATTTGTCCCATTCTGGAAGGTTCAGGATGAGTCTAACTAACCAGGAAAAAACTAAAAGTAGGTCATTGTAGGTTTTTGAAAGTAGGTCATGTTTGTCCATACGAGACAAAGTGGGCCAAATTTAATTACCCAAGGTCTCAACACTTTATTGAAAGTGGGCCAAATTTAATTATCCAAGGGCTCGACACTTTATTGAAAGTGGGCCAAATTTAATTATCCCAGGGCTCGACACTTTATTGAAAGTGGGCCAAATTTAATTACCCAAGGTCTCAACACTTTATTGAAAGTGGGCCAAATTTAATTATCCAAGGTCTCGACACTTTATTGAAAGTGGGCCAAATTTCATTATCCCAGGGCTCGACACTTTATTGAAAGTGGGCCAAATTTAATTATCAAAGGTCTCGACATTTTATTGAAAGTGGGCCAAATTTATTTATCAAAGTTCTCGACACTTTATTCAAAAAAGACCTATGTGCACATCCGAGGTTTGACAGCCATTAAAAGTGGGTCATAATGGCAGACCATTAAAAGTCAGTCATAGTGGATCATCGAAGGTATTTAAGAGGTCATTGAATTCAGGTCCTAGTTACCCATCCGAGGTCTTGACAGGTCATTGAGACCTCGTCTTGTGTGGACGTTGTATAAATATTGTTTTTTAATTTGAAACAGGTTTTATTTGGTCAGCCGAAAGCTAGAAATTATTTTGTCTTGTATTAATAACTTCCTGTTTTTATTTCAGGCGACCAGACGATTTTATTTAAAATTAACAACCTTGTGCCGTACGGATTCTGATCAGTTTTTTTATCGGAGTTTTTAGGTTTGTTTCGAAATAACCATTTGTCAGTTTTGTCGTTTTAGATTGTTTATTACAGGACCGACAACTTTTGTGTTGATTCGGCGTTTTGTTTCTCGTTCAAGATACGATAGAATACATTTACACGCGCTAAACCATTGCTTCATGATGAAACAAAAGATAACTTTAAAGTATATTTAGCATCCCATACGTACCTTAAAGCTAGTGGTTGTGGTAGTATTGTATCAGTCCAGATAAATCTACATTTGACACTGATTATACATTAATTAAGATCCATATCTGGCTTTTTGAGATTGTTAATATTTTTTATCTGTTGGGTCATTTATTTTTGTACAGTTTTCATTCATGTTAGAATACAAAATAAATATCTTAAAAACTCATACGGTATTTACTTATTTTCTTTTAAAATAGAACTAAAAAGGCAAAGAGAATGAAATAAATATTTTTTCGAAAATGATGATTAACATGGGGTCAAAAATCGATACAATTTTATCAGAGTTATACGTGTTCTAGCACGTTGTCAATAGTGCTGGTGAAGTAGAGTTTATGTGTTAATAATTATGTGGTATGTGAAGAGAATGTTATACCGGATTAAACAATTAGAAGATCCTTACTCCCGTAGTCATGCCAGGTACCCATTAGCTGGGTGGGCTCGGTGATGTCATACAACCATGCCAGGTACCCATGGGCTGGGTAGGCTCGGTGATGTCATACAACCATGCCAGGTACCCATGAGCTGGGTGGGCTCGGTGATGTCATACAACCATGCCAGGTACCCATTAGCTGGGTGGGCTCGGTGATGTCATACAACCATGCCAGGTACCCATGAGCTGGGTGGGCTCGGTGATGTCATACAACCATGCCAGGTACCCATGGGCTGGGTGGGCTCGGTGATGTCATACAACCATGCCAGGTACCCATGAGCTGGGTGGGCTCGGTGATGTCATACAACCATGCCAGGTACCCATAAGCTGGGTGGGCTCGGTGATGTCATACAACCATGCCAGGTACCCATGAGCTGGGTGGGCTCGGGGATGTCATACAACCATGCCAGGTACCCATGAGCTGGGTGGGCTCGGTGATGTCATACAACCATGCCAGGTACCCATGAGCTGGGTGGGCTTGGTGATGTCATACAACCATGCCAGGTACCCATTAGCTGCATGGACTCGGTGATGTCATACAACCATGCCAGGTACCCATGGGCTGGGTGGGCTCGGTGATGTCATACAACCATGCCAGGTACCCATGAGCTGCGTGGGCTCTGTGATGTCATACAACCATGCCAGGTACCCATTAGCTGGGTGGGCTCGGTGATGTCATACAACCATGCCAGGTACCCATTAGCTGCATGGACTCGGTGATGTCATACAACCATGCCAGTAACCAACACGGCTGAGTTGGCTAATGACGCCGTATGGTCATGCCAGGTACCCCTCACAGCTGAGTTGGCTGATAGAAGACGAGGCGGAATCACTCACCTTGTCGATGGAGTACGCCTCCCTGGTGTGGTACTCTTGTGTGGTTGAGTCGACAAAATCCCCGGGGTATGTCAGGTGGGTGGCGTTGTTGAGCTCACACGTCCCAGCTGTTTGGTCGAAGTTGTACGAGAGGCAGGGGGTGAGCTTCAAGCACTCGAGCGAGCATTGGGTGTTGGCCCTCTTGCCGCTGATAACCTGGGGGAAACATTAAAGTCATCTTAGTAAAGTCATCTTAGTGATTGGGTGTAGGCCCTCTTGCCGCTGATGACCTGAGGGAAACATTAAAGTCATCTTAGTAAAGTCATCTTAGTGGTTGGGTGTTGGCCCTCTTGCCGCTGATAACCTGAGGGAAACATTAAAGTCATCTTAGTAAAGTCATCTTAGTGGTTGGGTGTTGGCCCTCTTGCCGCTGATAACCTGAGGGAAACATTAAAGTCATCTTAGTAAAGTCATCTTAGTGGTTGGGTGTTGGCCCTCTTGCCGCTGATAACCTGAGGGAAACATTAAAGTCATCTTAGTAAAGTCATCTTAGTGGTTGGGTGTTGGCCCTCTTGCCGCTGATAACCTGAGAGAAACATTAAAGTCATCTTAGTAAAGTCATCTTAGTGATTGGGTGTTGGCCCTCTTGCCGCTGATGACCTTAGGGAAACAGACGTTAAAGTCATCTTAGTGGTTGGGTGTTGATTCTCTTACGGTCTTACTTCTGATCAAAGTCATCCTAGTGCATCCGTAACGCTTTTTAAACTATGTTGAACAACAATTTTACAAATATCATTTTTAAAATTTCAACGAAAGCCTATTTTAGGCTAGTAATTTACCAGAAAAATTGCAATAATTAAACAACACGTTATTATTCTACTTTCGTTTCTAATTTAACAGCACAAAAAAAATGTAAAATACTATTTATTCCGTAAATGACAAAAGTGCGAGGTAGCTATAATGGTGAAGGTAGAAAGTAACAAGTAAACATTTTTAAATTTTTGTTTAAAGAATATAATTAAAAAATAGCTTCGACAAAAGCTAAGCTAAATCTTTTAGAAAATTACAAAAACAAAATGTTCCAGATAGAAAATGAAAACAAAATGTGTCATGTACGTACCAGAAAGGTATGGTTTTTCAAACGTTTTCCTGTGGAGTTGTATTTTTCTGGGTGTTTTGTCCAAACGTAAAACTTGTTGATAGAGGACTGGGGTGGGGCCGTACTCGAGCTACCGTCGTACCTGTGGGACACAGAAAACAGGACATAAACACAGACAACAGGACATACTAGCTGGAGGAGTGAGGACACACAAGCTTTAGGACATTCAGACTTCAGGACATACAATAATTGTACTATATACTAGCTTTTGGACATTCAAACTTCAGGGCATACCAATTGCAGTACATACTACCTATGAACATTTTAGCTTTACAGCATATCACTTACAGCATACACTAGCTTTATGTCGTAAACTAATCAAATAGGATCATGATAATGTAATACTGATTGGGAATGATTACGTGACAAATAATTGTTCGAAACACTAGTCCAAATTGATTGGTTGCAAGACACTTAGCAAGCATTTCCAAATAAAGAGAGCAAAATTATGTCAGTCGGAACATGTATCAAAATACCTTACCTAAAATTTAAATATTCCATAATTTATTTTAAAAATAATCTACAAAAACGAGCTCTAATCATAATTCTCTCTTTTAAAACACTTTAGTACATTCTTCTTTTTTTCATTTCCCGTGAGCTGATTCTATAGTTTATAGTTCTATAAACTATAAACTTCATCTTAATTTTGTAGATCTGTTGTCATCAGTTAAACTCTACAAATTAACAAGCCATAAAACTCTACAAACTATCCGTCAATAAAATGATACAAACTATCCGTCAATAAAACGATACAGACTAGCCGTCAATAAGATTATACAAACTTTCAGTCAATAAAACGCTACAAACTAACAAACCATAAAAGGCTACCAACAAACAAACCATAAAACGCTACCAACTAACAAACCATACACCGCTACCAACTAATCAACTCACCCCAATTTTGTAGCAGTGTCCGTGTTCCCTGGGTCACTTGTCGAACTCTGTGGGGTCGTGTCCACCACCGCTCCCCCGTCCCCAGCCGAGTGGTCAATGTTGGTCAACATTGACAAGACAAGAACCACCGCCCACAACATCTCTCGGCCCCTGTCCATGTCTCACAGCCTGGGTATAATAGTTTTAGCTGTCACATAGTAGTGACAGTCTCGGTGTCAGGGCAATTTTAGTGACATGACAACTGTATTAGTTACATGACAACTTATTTGTGACATGACAGCTGTGTTAGTGACATGACAGCTGTATTGGTGACATTACACCTGTATCAGTGACATGACACGTATTAGTGACATGACAGCTGTATTAGTGACATGATGGTTGTATTAGTGACATGACAACTGTATTAGTGACATGACACGTATTATTGACATGACAGATGTATTAGTGACATGACAGATGTATTAGTGACATGACAGCTGTATTAGTGACATGAAAGATGTATTAGTGACATGACTATTGCATTATTGTCATGATGAATGTATTAATGCCTACAGAATTATATTAATGTCAACTGCATTGCCGTATTCTCTATTTTTATACTTTTAAACCTGATATTTAACAAAAACAGAAAAAAATATCACCTTCTTAACAAATAACTCTATACACGATTTTTTATTTGCCCGAGTTAAAAATGGCAGTTAAACCACAACTTTTCCGGCTAAAATAGCAGTTAAACCACAATCTTCCTTGCTAAAATAGCAGTTAAACCACAATCTTCCTTGCTAAAATAGCAGTTAAACCACAATCTTCCTTGCTAAAATAGCAGTTAAACCACAAACTTCCTTGCTAAAATAGCAGTTAAACCACAATCTTCCTTGCTAAAATAGCAGTTAAACCACAATCTTCCTTGCTAAAATAGTAGTTAAACCACAATCTTCCTTGCTAAAATAGTAGTTAAACCACAATCTTCCTTGCTAAAATAGCAGTTAAACCACAATCTTCCTTGCTAAAATAGCAGTTAAACCACAATCTTCCTTGCTAAAATAGCAGTTAAACCACAATCTTCCTTGCTAAAATAGCAGTTAAACCACAGTCTTCCTTGCTAAAATAGTAGTTAAACCACAATCTTTCCAGCTTAAATAGCAGTTAACCCACGGTATGAAATCTATACTTAAAACAACGCGAAATTTAACTCAGAAGAAAAACACAAAAACTGCCGACCTGCAGCGAGTCAGCTCAAGAACTCATCCACTGCCGCCTGCCATGACAGGTAGATCGTCTCACCTTCTGGGACCACAGGTTCCTGCAGTGTCTGACTAGCATGTGAAGTCTAGCGTGACGAAAGACATTAATTTATTATCCGCTGAGCTCAACATGATTGGATACGCTCCTCCCTTTCCTGTAGGTTGCTGAATCAGGTTTTCTTCTAATTAAATCAAATGTACGATCTAAAACGAAATTTATACATATATAATTTTCTAAAACAAAACCCGCAACATTTATTTACAGAAAATCTAGTCAATATGTTTCTGTGGTGCTGAAATCGCACCTTCAGCTAAATTTTCCTAAGTCGATATGGATTAGGAATTAATAAGATTCTAATTAACTATTAAAATCGAATTTGGTAAAATCAATACGCGTGGATTTATAGATTTTCTGTTTTTATGGCAATTGCATTTTCGCTTGGTTTCGTTTGCGACCTTTGTCCAATAGTTTAATGTCTGTAATGTAGGCCCTATATGTTGTGGTGTGAGTGACGGGGGGGGGGGGGGGGTTATCCAGTAGTTACATGTCTATATTATATATGTTGTGGTAAGGGGCTTAATCCAGCAGTTAAATGTCTATAGCAGGGGTCTCCAAACTTTTCAGCCCGAGGGCCGCATTAACTATCAAATATCAGTTCGGGGGCCAGAGTTTCTTCCATCCATCTCTTTGGGGTAACGGTATCCCCCGTACACCCCCCCCCCCCAACGAAATATAATTTATATAGAAATATATACACATTTTAAATGCACCCCCCTACCCTGGAGAAAAAGTCTGAAAGAAACGTTGTCGCGGGCCAACTACACACTCGAGGTCCAAGTATGTTCTCCTTGGGCAAACACAAAAACCCACCCGCCATTTTTTGAACTTGTCTCTAAGGAGGTCATTTGCTTGCTATTCAATGACCTCCATCTGCAGTTCATCTTGGCAACCGGTTCCATTTGCTTCAAATGGGGTTTGAAACAGTCTCACTTCTGCCTTTGAATCCTAGTCAGAAAACCGCTACTGAAACTGCAGCTGGAGGTCTTGTTAGCAGTTTTCACTATTTGAGTCACAATGTTTTCATTCATGTCAGCAACATGGAGGGCAATGGTATAAACACCAAAACATTTTCAAATTGTTTTGAATTTTCTTGGCAAAGCTCCTCAGCCATTTCTAACAAACATTTTTTTTCCATGAACAAAAAGATCTCCGCGGGCCGGATAAGGGGACCTCGCGGGCCGCATCCGGCCCGCGGGCCGTAGTTTGGAGACCCCTGGTCTATAGCATATATGTTGTGGTGGGGGGCGTTCATCCAATAGTTAAAGTTCTGGTGTGAAAATGCTTTCACATAATATACAAGATTGAGCCCCTTCTAGCGATATGTTGATATCTATTTACATAGATCCTTTTAAGCTGAGTCAAATTATAGCATCAAATATTCACCAAGTATCTATAAACCATCATTAAATGTGCTGTACTTGTGTTAGCAGACTTTACTGTTGGGCTTAAATGACAATGTTTTAAGAAAGTTATTAATGTAGAGGACGTTTAAAGTACTGCGACATGGCCTCAAACGGGCTGATTTCTTTCAATTATTAGCCTTAGGCCTGTTTAGTGGTGCTACTGATCTCTTCAAAAGCCTTGTGTAGCGATTGAACTTTTTACACTGAGATCAGCGTGTACAGACATCTAATTATAGAATGGGATTTTAATTGCTGAGTTCTGTGATTAGATAACAATGGGTTAATGTAACAAGTTTCCTCGCTAAAATCAAAGTACACAATTTTATAATACAAAACTGTGTCAATAATTCCATATAACCACACACTAGAACGTTCAACACAAAGAACGATGATTGTAAAATAACAGCATCACAATTACAAAGATTAAGTGACAGCTATGAAATAACAATAAAGAACTTAAAGCTACAATGATCATCAAGTAGGATGCTAAAAGAACTTTAAGCTACAATGATCATCAAGTAGGATGCTAGTAAAATAAGCAGAAAGTACGACCAAATTAAAACCACAAAATATTTATGTAACATTACTATAAAGTACAATAAATAGCAAAGTACGATGAAGACAAAATGACAACAGTTCTACAATCTATCAAATCTTATCTATTATCGTGATTCACCGAATAAAATAAAAAAAAGCGACACGGTACACTTTGTGAAACGTATTGATTTCATGAGAACCAACACAATAGGTTGAGTGTGTAGTAAGTGTGTAGCACATTTTTATCTCGTTTCTTTCCATTAGAGCCCTTAAGATACAGAGCTAAACAATGGGGCGGGTTTTAATAAGCTTAGCTCTTACAGGTAAGATTCGTCTAGTAGCCAGGATATGACGCTATTGTATATTAGAATATAAATTATTTAAAAAATATATTCAAAATTAATGCAGAATTTTTAAAAAATAATTTCAAAATAATGTGCAGAGGCAGGGAAATTTAAGCGATTGGGCATTGTGCTGACTGTACTGTTTCTTCAGATTAACTCTACTTCATCTACTCAATGAGCCGCCAATTTTGAAAGGGCTAACATTTGTTGTCTATAGAAGCAGTTTTTAAAAACACGCAAACTCTAACTTGTTATTGTTTACTTAACTATGATATCTGTGAAACTGTCGCACATAATTGATTTTAAAGATTTCTTCTTGTTATAAATACAGTTGGTCGAAACCTCAGGTTTTTTTTTCTTCCTTTTTTTATTTCGCTATTTATTTGCTTTCATATGTGGGTGACTATATTATACTATATCGTTTTAAATACTCGTGTGCTATTGCATGCATAGTTTATATTTATGTGACTATATTCTACAAGCCGACCCGGTACTACGCCGCTATTTAGTTGTTTTATTTTCTACTTTTCAATAATTCATAATTTGTGAATTCGACACTACCCTCCCTAATAGTCGTCACTAATTCGATCCGGCTCTACGATTGTAAACATTCGGCGTAAACCACAGCTCACCAGACTGGAGGGGGGTGGTAGCAATATGCCTAGAGAGCGTGGTAGGAACGTCTAAGTCGTTACGTGGTGGTGTCTCGCATGGTCCCCACGTAGAGATTTATATTAATAGATTATGTGACTATTTTCTAAGTATGCCAATCTATCTACCCCCCCCCCCCTAGCTCTATGCCTAGGCACCACCTACGCCTACAATGAAACCCAAGTCTGCTACGAAGTGATCGGCTGCTTCAACAACAGCTTCCCCTTCAACAACACCAACGGCGTGCTGCCCAAGTCCCCCCAGGAGCTGGGGGTCAGGATCTGGATGTTCACCCGCCAGAACCCTGAGCAGGCTGACGTGCTAGACTATGCTGACAACACGACCTTCAACGGCTCAAACTTCGACACGGACAGGCCCACCAAGTTTATCGTGCACGGGTTCTCCTCGTCCTTTGAGAAGACGGCGTGGATCTTCCAGATGAGAGATAAACTCTTGATCAAGGTCATTGGTTTCAACGTTTACATTCCCTTTAATCATTCACACACACATGTACACGCACGCTTTTAGGCCGTAAGGGGCTCCGTAAGATACAGGTATTATGATACTCCACCATAAATAGTTGAGGTTAGGCAGTGGCGTAGCGAGGGGGGGGGGTGCGGATCGCACCGGGTGACACCATTTAGGTGGGTGACACCAAGGCAAAAAAATAGCAAAATATATAGAGAAAAATGATAATTCCACCTTATTAAGTGATTAATTGGAGTGTCAAATAGTCTTTTAAGAGGTGCAAATCGAAAGTTTGAGGGGGGGGGGGGGCGCAAATATAAAAGTTTGAGGGGGGGGGGGGGTGCAAATCGAAAGGTTGAGGGAGTGTGTGCAAATCGAAAGTTTGACGGGGGGAAGGGGGTGCAAATCGAATTGAAAATTTGTCTTCGGGAAGGGTCGCTACGCCTCTGGGTGGGGGGGGGGGGTGACACCATTAAGTGCCGCACAGGGTGATACCCGACCTCGCTACGCCACTGAGGTTAGGCCCTAACCGTTAGGGTACAAAAAGTCCGTTCAATCTCATTTTATTGAACTAGCCCTCTTCACAACCACCCGTGACCACCAACTGCCATTCACATTCAACCCTACACATCACCTTTCTCCAGCTCACTAAACACCCGCTGTCACTCGACCAGTCACTTCCCTCGCTAACCTCGTTCACTCTGAGCTTTTCTATCCAAACTTCCAGTAGTTGCAGCCCATTGAAGGATAGAAATAGAAATATGGTCAGATTTAGCAGCTGAGGATGAGGCCAGCTTTAGGTAACAAGAAATGAAATGTGATTGGTTTTTCTTTTCTCTAAGGGCGATTTCAATGTAATAGCTGTCGACTGGAGCAAGGGCGCAACTCTGCCTGATTATTTCCAAGCCACTGCTAACATTAGAGTTGTGGCCGCTGAAATCAAACTGATATTGGACATGATGGAAGACATGGGCTACGACCTGTCTAAAGTCCACTTCATTGGTCACTCACTCGGTGCTCATCTTTCTGGGTTTGTTGGGCACATGCTGGGACCTAACCGCCTTGGGAGAATCAGTGGTGAGTGTGTTATGTAAATAGTGAGAAGGTTCTAGTGTGTTATGTAAATGGTGAGAAGGTTCTAGTGCGCTTTGTCAATGGTGAGTAGATTTTAGTGTGTTATGTAAATAGTGAGAAAATTCTAGTGCGCTTTGTCAATGGTGAGTAGATTTTAGTGTGTTATGTAATGGTGTATAAGTTTTAGTGTGTTATGTAAATTGTGTGTAGTTTTTATAGTGTGGTGTGTAAATGGTGTATAAGTTTTAGTGTTATGTAAATGGTGAGTAGGTTTTTGTGAGTTATGTAAATGGTGTGTAGTTTTAGAGTGTTGTGTAAATCGTGAGTGGTTTTTAATGTTTTGTGTAAATGATGAAAAAGTCAAAGAGTGTTATGTAAATGGTATTTTCTAGTGTGATATATAAATAGTGAGTAGGTTTAAGTGTATTGTGTAAATTGTGAGCAGGTTGTGCTGTGTGCATGTTGATGTGTACTGTGTATAGGGATTAGGTTTTAGTGTGCTGTGTAAATGTTGATGTGTACTGTGTATGGGGATTAGGTTTTAGTGTGCTGTGTGAATGTTGTTGTGTATGGGGATGATGTTTTAGTGGGTTGTGTAAATGTTGATGTGTACTGTGTAAGGGGATTAGGTTTTAGTGTGTTGTGAAGCACGAAGAAAGCCCATAATGCCAGCTTTACTATCTGCCTATTGGCAACATTACGTGGTTGTATGTGTGATCACATAAATCCCACTACGTTTCTTACACTGTTCTCACGATCTTTTCATTTAAAAACGCTTAAGAAATGTATCTGCAAATGATTTCATAAGGATAGTAATTTTATGCAGTGGCGTAGCGAGGTCGGGTGTCACCCGGTGCGGCACTTAATGGTATCACCCCCCAGAGGCGTAGCGACCCTTCCCGGGGACAAACTTTCAAATTTTCTATTTGCACCCCCTCCCCCTCGAACTTTCGATTTGCACCCACCCTTCCTCAAGTTTTTCTCTATATATTTTGCTATTTTTTGCCTTGGTGTCACCCCCTAAATGGTGTCACCCTGTGCGGTCCGCACCCCTGCCCCCTCTCGCTACGCCTCTGATTTTATGTCAATACATTTGATTCTTGTGTCTTATTACTTTCTTATTTTTCTAAAGGAATGGATCCTGCTGAGCCAAACTTCCTCAACTACACACTTCCGGTTAGGCTTGACAGTGACGACGCCATCTTTGTCGACGTCATCCACACGGACGGGTCAAAGTTCAGCCTGATCGAAGGGTTCGGCCTGATGCAGGAGAGTGGTGACGTCGACTTTTACGTCAACGGTGGCGAGAAACAGCCCGGATGTACTGACGCTCTCAGCAGCATACTACACAGTAAGTGTGAACCACCCCCTACACAGTAAGTGTGAACCACCGCCTACGGTAAATGTGAAACACCGCCTACACGGTAAGTGTGAACCACCCCCTATACGGTAAGTGTGAACCACCCCTGTACAGTAAGTGTGAACCACCCCCTGTACAGTAAGTGTGAACCACCCCCTGTACAGTAAGTGTGAACCACCCCCTATACGGTAAGTGTGAACCACCCCTTACACGGTAAGTGTGAACCACCGCCTACGGTAAATGTGAAACACCGCCTACACGGTAAGTGTGAACCACCCCCTACAGGGTAAGTGTGAACCACCCCCTACACGGTAAGTGTCAACAGCCGCCTGTACAGTAAGAGTGAACCACCCCGAAATGTTAATTGTGAACCACCCCGACATGGTAAGTGTGAACCGCCCCGACATGGTAAGTGTGAACCACCCCTATACGGTAAGTGTGAACCCCCCCCCCCCTATACGGTAAGTGTGAACCACACCTATACGGTAAGTGTGAACCACCCCTGTACAGTTAGTGTGAACCAACCCCTGTACAGTAAGTGTGAACCACCCCCTGTACAGTAAGTGTGAACCACCCCCTATACGGTAAGTGTGAACCACCCCGACACGGTAAGTGTGAACCACCCCGACACGGTAAGTGTGAACCACCCCCCGTACAGTAAGTTTGAACCACCCCGACATGGTAAGTGTGAACCACCCCTATACGGTAAGTGTTAACCACACCTATACGGTAAGTGTTAACCACACCTATACGGTAAGTGTGAACCACCCCTGTACAGTAAGTGTGAACCACCCCCTGTACAGTAAGTGTGAACCACCCCCTGTACAGTAAGTGTGAACCACCCCCTATACGGTAAGTGTGAACAACCCCGACACGGTAAGTGTGAACCACCCCTATACGGTAAGTGTGAACCACCCCCTGTACAGTAAGTGTGAACCACCCTCAACACGGTAAGTGTGAACCACCCTCTACACGGTAAGTGTGAACCACCCTCTACACGGTAAGTGTGAACCACCCCGACACGGTAAGTGTGAACCGCCCCCTGTACAGTAAGTGTGAACCACCCTCTACACGGTAAGTGTGAACCACCCCTTACACGGTAAGTGTGAACCACCGCCTACGGTAAATGTGAAACACCGCCTACACGGTAAGTGTGAACCACCCCCTACAGGGTAAGTGTGAACCACCCCCTACACGGTAAGTGTCAACAGCCGCCTGTACAGTAAGAGTGAACCACCCCGAAATGTTAATTGTGAACCACCCCGACATGGTAAGTGTGAACCGCCCCGACATGGTAAGTGTGAACCACCCCTATACGGTAAGTGTGAACCCCCCCCCCCTATACGGTAAGTGTGAACCACACCTATACGGTAAGTGTGAACCACCCCTGTACAGTTAGTGTGAACCAACCCCTGTACAGTAAGTGTGAACCACCCCCTGTACAGTAAGTGTGAACCACCCCCAATACGGTAAGTGTGAACCACCCCGACACGGTTAGTGTGAACCACCCCGACACGGTAAGTGTGAACCACCCCCCGTACAGTAAGTTTGAACCACCCCGACATGGTAAGTGTGAACCACCCCTATACGGTAAGTGTTAACCACACCTATACGGTAAGTGTGAACCACCCCTATACGGTAAGTGTGAACCACCCCCTGTACAGTAAGTGTGAACCACCCTCAACACGGTAAGTGTGAACCACCCTCTACACGGTAAGTGTGAACCACCCTCTACACGGTAAGTGTGAACCACCCCGACACGGTAAGTGTGAACCGCCCCCTGTACAGTAAGTGTGAACCACCCTCTACACGGTAAGTGTGAACCACCCTCTACACGGTAAGTGTGAACCACCCCCTGTACAGTAAGTGTGAACCACCCCCTGTACAGTAAGTGTGAACCACCCCCTGTACAGTAAGTGTGAACCACCCCCTGTACAGTAAGTGTGAACCACCCCCTGTACATTAAGTGTGAACCACCCCCTGTACATTAAGTGTGAACCACCCCCTGTACATTAAGTGTGAACCACCCCGACACGGTAAGTGTGAACAACCCCGACACGGTAAGTGTAAACCACCCCCTGTACAGTAAGTGTGAACCACCCCCTGTACAGTAAGTGTGAACCACCCCCTATACGGTAAGTGTGAACCACCCCGACACGGTAAGTGTGAACCACCCCGACACGGTAAGTGTGAACCACCCCCCGTACAGTAAGTTTGAACCACCCCGACATGGTAAGTGTGAACCACCCCTATACGGTAAGTGTGAACCACCCCCTGTACAGTAAGTGTGAACCACCCCCTGTACAGTAAGTGTGAACCACCCCCTGTACAGTAAGTGTGAACCACCCCCTGTACAGTAAGTGTGAACCACCCCCTGTACAGTAAGTGTGAACCACCCCCTGTACAGTAAGTGTGAACCACCCCCTGTACATTAAGTGTGAACCACCCCCTGTACATTAAGTGTGAACCACCCCGACACGGTAAGTGTGAACCACCCCGACACGGTAAGTGTAAACCACCCCCTGTACAGTAAGTGTGAACCACCCCCTGTACAGTAAGTGCGAACCACCCCCTGTACAGTAAGTGTGAACCACCCCCTGTACAGTAAGTGTGAACCACCCCCTGTACAGTAAGTGTGAACCACCCCCTGTACAGTAAGTGTGAACCACCCCCTGTACAGTAAGTGTGAACCACCCCCTGTACATTAAGTGTGAACCACCCCCTGTACATTAAGTGTGAACCACCCCGACACGGTAAGTGTGAACCACCCCGACACGGTAAGTGTAAACCACCCCCTGTACAGTAAGTGTGAACCACCCCCTGTACAGTAAGTGTGAACCACCCCCTATACGGTAAGTGTGAACCACCCCGACACGGTAAGTGTGAACCACCCCGACACGGTAAGTGTGAACCACCCCCCGTACAGTAAGTTTGAACCACCCCGACATGGTAAGTGTGAACCACTCCTATACGGTAAGTGCGAACCACCCCCTACAGGGTAAGTGTGAACCACCCCCTACACGGTAAGTGTCAACAGCCGCCTGTACAGCAAGAGTGAACCACCCCGAAATGTTAAGTGTGAACCACCCCGACATGGTAAGTGTGAACCGCCCCGACATGGTAAGTGTGAACCACCCCTATACGGTAAGTGTGAACCACCCCTATACGGTAAGTGTTAACCACACCTATACGGTAAGTGTGAACCACCCCTGTACAGTAAGTGTGAACCACCCCCTGTACAGTAAGTGTGAACCACCCCCTGTACTGTAAGTGTGAACCACCCCCTGTACAGTAAGTGTGAACAACCCCGACATGGTAAGTGTGAACCACCCCTGTACAGTAAGTGTGAACCACCCCCTGTACAGTAAGTGTGAACCACCCCCTGTACAGTAAGTGTGAACCACCCTGTACTGTAAGTGTGAACCACCCCCTGTACAGTAAGTGTGAACAACCCCGACACGGTAAGTGTGAACCACCCCCTATACGGTAAGTGTGAACAACCCCGACACGGTAAGTGTGAACCACCCCTATACGGTAAGTGTGAACCACCCCCTGTACAGTAAGTGTGAACCACCCTCTACACGGTAAGTGTGAACCACCCTCTACACGGTAAGTGTGAACCACCCCGACACGGTAAGTGTGAACCACCCCCTGTACAGTTAAGTTTGAACCACCCCGACATGGTAAGTGTGAACCACCCCTATACGGTAAGTGTGAACCACCCCCTGTACAGTAAGTGTGAACCACCCCCTGTACAGTAAGTGTGAACCACCCCCTACGCGGTAAGTGTGAACCACCCCCTGTACAGTAAGTGTGAACCACCCCCTGTACAGTAAGTGTGAACCACCCCCTGTACAGTAAGTGTGAACCACCCCCTACGCGGTAAGTGTGAACCACCCCCTGTACAGTAAGTGTGAACCACCCCCTGTACAGTAAGTGTGAACCACCCCCTGTACAGTAAGTGTGAACCACCCTGTACTGTAAGTGTGAACCACCCCCTGTACAGTAAGTTTGAACTGAAAGTTTCTCAATAAAACAATGCACGGTTCTGCATTAAACTTTACTGTTGTGTAAGTCTAAATTTAATTATTTTGCATTTAGACAGGTAATTTATCTCGTTAGCTTGCCTTGATTTCTTGATTGTAGGCTTTAGTTTTGCAATTTTCATCATCACTTTAATGTAGACTGATACAGATTTACTACAGGAATACTTTTTTTTATTTGTTGACAATGATTTATACATAATACAATACGTCTAACTTCAACTTTTTAATGTTTATAAATCATGTTTTTAAGGCTGGGAGCTACAGATCATACACTTTTTTGTTAATATTCAAGCAAATCCACTGAAACTTTACCCATATAATGTATGCTTAATAAGATTTTTAAAAATGGTTTTCAAAAAGAAAAATATTTTTGGTTGCCATGGTTACGTCAAAACAAAAAAAATAGTATTTCCAAGCTTATTGTACCATATATTATAAAATCATTTTGACATCAAAATTCAACATTGGTTGTCAGTCTTTTTTATAATAAAGAATGGCAAATTGCCATTCCAAATATAATCCAAAGTACAATCGTGATTGTGTATTTAAATGTGTTTATATTATAACTACATTAAAATGCTAAGACACGTAGGACTTGAGTCTAGCGGTTGAGTACATTGTAAGCCTATGATCCCCTGCAGTTAACGGAAGTCTGGAAGGTTCTCTCTCCTGCAGCCACGGCAGAGCTCACGACATCTACCTCGAGTCTTTCGACAGCACGTGCAACTTCACCGCGTACCCGTGTGACAGTTTGGTGAGCTCACCTTTGTTTTATGGGGGGAGAGGTGGGGGAGGGGTTAACTGGTCTACTTTGTTTTATGGGGGTAGAGGAGGGGGGTGAACTGATAATCCTTGTTTTATGGGGGTAGAGGTAGGGGCGGGGTGAACTGATCACCTTTGTTTTATGGGGGTAGAGCTGGGGGGGTGAACTGATCACCTTTGTTTTATGGGGGTAGAGGTAGGGGCGGGGTGAACTGATCACCTTTGTTTTATGGGGGTAGAGCTGGGGGGGTGAACTGATCACCTTTGTTTTATGGGGGTAGAGCTGGGGGGGGGTTAATGGTTTACTTTGTTTTATGGGGGTAAAGGTGGTAAGGGGTTAAATGGTCTACTTTGTTTAATGGGGGTAGAGGTGGGGGGGGGGGGGTTAAATGGTCTACTTTGTTTTATGTGGTTAGAGCTGGGGGGGGGGTTAACTGGTCTACTTTGTTTTATGGTGGGGGTAGAGGTGGGGGGATGATCTGGTGACCTTGTTTTATAGGTGAAAAGGTGGTGGGATGATGTGGTCACTTTTCTTGAATGGGGAGGTGGGTGCTGGGGTCGAACGGGCCGCTTTTATTTTGGGGGGAGGGTGGAGAAGGTAGAATGGGTGTTACTTCTTACTTTTATTTCATGGGGATTGGGGGTAAACTGCTTAATCTTGTTTTATGAGGAGGGTGGGGGAATACTGCTCACCAGTGTTTTATCCGTTGGGGCGGGGGGGGGGGAGGAGCGAGTGGTTGTCTATATGTCAAGCTGCATTGCAAAATACTCTCTGAAGACTCACCCACTACCTACACGATTGATTTTGTACTCGTCTATTTGTGTAAACATGTTTCAAATGTTTAGCTGTCACGTTTTTGTATTCAGTTTTAATGATGCTGTTTTCGTACTATTTCTAACGTGTGTACGTGCCACAAAATATTCTCCAGGAAAAATTTGAGAACGGGGAATGTTTCCAATGTTCTGCTGGTCAAGGCTGCAGCGTCCTTGGCATTGATGCTGACCTTTACCCTGCAAGGGGTGACCTTTACATAGACACTCACCACACAGCGCCGTTCTGCGGTTGGTATTTTTTGTATTTTGGTAGCTCCACTGTATTAAATCAGACACAAAAATATTTTAGACAGCGAATTAGCAAGCACACGGGTTTACGATTCATATAGAATCAAAGTATCTTGCTAAGTTAATGCCCTTTATTTCACTCCTCTTATTTTATTGTGTTTCATTTATTTATAATGTCCCTTGTTGCATCGAAAGTCACTCATTAAGTGGGTGTCTAGTCAAGAGGAAGCAACTAAGATTTTAGTCCACGATATTTATGTCCAGTGATTTACCTCTAGGATTTTAAAATTTGTTATCGAGTTATATGTCTTGTGGTCTAATCTATTTCCCTGATTGTTTGTGAGACAGGTGTGCCGTACCATGTCAAAGTTTTCGCCAGTCCAGATGCCCCAGAAACCACTGGACTCATCTACGTCTCTCTCAACGGTAGTGGCGGCAGCACAGACTTCATCCCCATCAATACCAGGTGACCCTCAGCTTTTGTTTGACAACTATCAACAGATAACTCTAAAGCCCGGACTTCGAACTTTAGGGTAGATGAGGCTCGTAGGCTGCGTACACAATCGCATCTAGGAGAGAAAACTCAGAAATCAAACAGGAGTAGAGCCCCTGAGGCGATAGGATTACCAACTCTGGTTTCCTTTCGGCAGTTCCTGCAAGACTGCTAATACCATGTTGTACAGGTAAAGTTTGTCCCTTGGAGTCAGTCAGGGGAGTAGAGAGGAGTCTGATCCATGGGCAACATCTGTTTCTAACTGCCCAGTCGTTGGGCTCGGATTTTCAATGCGCAATCATCAAATGGTCTACTCGGCTATGGAGCCATAGTTTTAATATAAGAAATTAATCAAGTCCTTTTAACAAATTGAGCAGAGACGAATACACCACTTTGTAAAGACGAAAGCCATTTTCTCCTCACATCAATCAGAGTTGTTTTTTTTTTAAAAGAATTGATGTTACGTTATAAAACGATTATGAAAATCCAGTGTTATTCATTTACTAATCAAGACACCATTTTAAACCATGTAGATTAAATAAAACACGCCTTACAATAAACCTAGCTTTATTTCATTAATTAGTTGTTAAAGTTTTTGTCTTGTGTTCTGCAAGGAACAAAAAAATCAACGCGCTATCGGAGATTTCCACCAATATCGTGTACCGCAGTGACGTAGGTACCGTCACTTCCGTTGACGTCAGGTACGAGAAGGACGTGGGGTTTCTGGGAGGTCTCCTGGGGTCCTCGGGCACCAACACCTTCAGCATCACAGGCATCGAGGTCATGTCCCCGTCCACGGAGACCTGGTAAGTGACAGATACGTTTTCATGACCCCCCCCCTCCATCATGTATGAAGTCTACGTTACTTAAGTATAGTGTCTGGGTAAGTTACTTCAGTGGTAAATATGTTTTTATTACCCACATCATGTTCGGAGTCTGTGCTAACATGTTCAAGAACTTTGCTAAGACTTAGCAAATACTGGTTTACTACTTCTTCTGATACGAATTCACTTAAAATAGACATTATTTGTTTGAGTTTTTAAAACTGGCAGCCAAATATAACGTTTATGACATTTTTATCTGTTTGATTTTTTTAAATTTGGCAATAGCCATCCAGTGTTTGATCCAATCTATTTTGTCACCACAGGACCTCATCTTGCAGGGGCAGCTATCAATTAGTGGACAAGACCCCTGTCCACTTAGAGACCACATTAGGCAGAACAAGTGACCCATGCACAGTTGTTGGATAATTAGCGATTAATGAATAAAACTAGTTAGCTTATCAAAAGCAATGTGTTTTGGTTTGTGTTTAATGTATAAAGGGAACAGAAATTTCGCTGGATTCACTGAGATTTGAAGTCGTCTAGTTTTGTTGTAACGTGTTAAAATGCATTCGCAGTATAAAATAGTTTTAACAGCAGTGTCCAGAAAAAATTGTAATCTGCGTCATGATGTGATGGACGGCCTGTTGTTATCTGGCTTACAACGAGAAGAGTATTTAATGTAATCAGCACGATCTCCATGTCCGAACTGTTTTAGAATGAAAAGTAGAACAATAATCAATAACCAGTATTCTGTGTCTTAAATCTTGAAACCGTTGGTACAATAGTCTATGAATGATGTGTGATAAGACGGTACTTTTAGGTTTAAAAAATAGAACAGCAATAAGTCAATTTTTATTACTCATACAACATTTAAACAGGTCTTGGCTGTGGAGTGGTTGTCTTTGACTTGGAGCACTTGATTGGATTCCTATGTAATTGTGTAGTGGGTAGGGGGTGGCTGTCTAGCTTATTTTTTTATCATGTGGGGGGGGGGGGGGGTGAAACAATAGATATAAGTTAATGTAGTAAAAATTATGTTTTTCTATAAATTTTTATCACAGACGGGATTTAATAAAAACCCTAAGCGAAGATCACAACTATAACAGAGTTTGTGCTATTTGTGTAGTTTTACCCAGACTTTAATCGAATTTATAAAACGGCTCCTCGAGAAAAACAGAAACTCCCCTATGAATATAACCTGCAGATGACACTATATATTTCTGCGATATTCAAAACCTACTACAAAAGCTTACTTTAACAAATAATTCATGTCATTCACTAGAACAGGGGTCTTCAAACTTTTCAGCCTGAGGGCCGCCTTAACTATCAAATATCAGTTCAGGGGCCAATTTTCTTCCATGCATCCCTTTAGGGTGGCGGTGCCCCCCCCCCCCCCCCAACGGAATATAACGTATATAGAAATATATATAGAAATATATTCACATTTTAAATGCACCCCACCAGGAGAAAAAGTCTGAAAGAAACACTGTCGGGGGCCGACTACACACTCTAGATCTTAGTTTGTTCTCCTTGGGCAAACACAAAAACCCACCCGCCATTTTTTGAACTTGTCTCTAAGGAAGTCATTTGCTTGCAATTCAATGACCTCCATCTGCAGTTCATCTGGGCAACTGGTTACATTCGCTTCAAATAGGTTTTGAAACAGTCTCACTTCTTCTGCCTTTAAATCCTTGTCAGAAAATTGCTACTGAAACTACAGCTGGAGGTCTTTGATGATCTCGCATGCAAATGATGTGGGCAACTCAGCTATTGCTTCAGCTATAAAGACATTGCAGTGCTGAAAGTGCGTCAAGTTGTTGCCCTGTAGCCTACTTGTTTCAAAAACATGGAACAGCTGTCCAGCGACTCATCCATTGCAATTGAATAATTGCGAAACTAGTTAGCAGTTTCCACTATTTGAATGACAATGTCTTTATCAATGTCTGCAACACCGCGGGCAATGGTATTTGCACCTAAAGCTACATTTTCAAATTGTTTTGAATTTTCTGGGCAAAGTTCCTCAGCCACCTCTAACATACATTTTTTTCCGTGAACAAAAAGATCACCGCGGGCCGGATGAGAGGACCTCGCGGGCCGCATCCGTCCCGCGGGCCGTAGTTTGGAGAGCCCTGCACTAGAATAATAAACAAATTCCTCTAGTACGTCCGTTCTTAAAATCTTCCGAAGCATAAAATAACGTGGAATATTTTACTTGATTACCTTGCGTTTCTGAATTTTTAAATAGGTCAAAGATCTCTGAGTAAGATTTGATTTATTTTTAAATCAATTCGTGACTTTAGATGTTAACATTTTAAAAATGTCAATAAACTGTGTATGTAAATCAGAAAACGGTAGTTTGGAACTTTTAGCAATACGAATCGTGAGGCTGTTGTAAGAACCAGTGGTGTAAAGGTTGAAGTTAGCCTGTGGTTAGAACTTGGCGCTTCTAGCTGGTGCTCTGACGTGGGCGGACCGTGGAAATGTTGTTCTTCATTTTGACACTGAGTAAGTCATTTTTAACAGATAAATATTTAATAGCTCCTCTACTTAAGAGTAAAATAACATATTTGCTAACTCCGATAAATTTGCGTAATCAATGTTGATAATTTTAAAATCATAGCAAGGGAAAGTAGCAAATATTTGTAGTAAGAAAATATTTTACCAAATATTTATAGCAAATAGCGTAACAAAATATTCTAATACATATTTTAAAAATATTTTATTTAACTTGCTTCGTCTGTCTATAGTACTTCGTCCGTAATAGATCGAAACTGCCTAGTGAAATTTCGAGCACTTCTAACTGGCCGATTCTTTTCCAACTTGGCACGTGGGTCAAGACCAGATGACAATGCAATCTGACATAAAATTTGACTTAATTAGATGCATAGTTTATTTTTTATCAATTAATTAAAATTATGTAAATAAAGTAGGCTGATCTACCATTATTCCACTCTATTATACGTGCATTTTCATGTTCATTTGGTGTGCAATAGTTTTTAGTGATGAAACTCTATTAAAAACTTTAAATACTAAAAGTGCATACAAATTTTAATAATCATAATATAAATACTAATTTTCCCACAGGTGCCAGTCTCGCGGCCCTGTCACATCAGGCCGAAGTCTGCTACGATCACGTGGGGTGCTTCAACAACTTGGCGCCCTATGTGAGCGTGCTGCCAAATTCACCCACAGAGATCGCCGCCCGCTTCCTCCTGTACACCAGGAACAACAGACAGACCCCGGACTCTTTGATCTACACCAACGCTGCTTCCGTCACCGGCTCCCACTTCTCTACCAGCCGGGAAACAAAGTTTATCGTCCACGGCTTCGCCTCTTCAAGTGAGAATCAATGGGTCATTGACCTAAGGAACAAGCTGCTAAATAAGGTGGGTCATTGAAATTATAGACAACATAGAGATATCATTCTGTATTTACATCGGATAATGAATTGATATTGTCAATGTCCAATTTATTAAAGCGCAAAATACAAAGATTTCATTCTGTATTTACTCAAATAATGAAATGATATTGTCAATGTCCAATGTCAGGGAGATTTCAACGTGATCGTCGTGGACTGGGGCAAAGGTGCAACATATCCTTTCTATGACCGCGCATCCTCCAACCTCAGGGTCGTTGCCACGGAGATCAAGCTTCTGCTGGACATCATGCATTCTAAAGGCCTTAACCTGGATAAGGTCCACCTGATTGGTCACTCACTGGGGGCCCAACTGTCTGGATACGTCGGGAACCTGTTTGGTCACAACGTCATTGGCAGGATTAGCGGTGAGTTTTGAGGCTCCACTTGATGGTCAGGTTTAGACCAGCTTAACCGATCAATAATTTTTACTTAACAGCAGAACCCAAAAATATATTAACTAATTATAACTTAACTGATCTAGACCAGTATAACCCAACTACATAAACAATTATTTTAACCTAACAGGTCTAGACCCAGCAGAACCAAAGTATATAAACAATTATTTTAACCAAACAGGTCTAGACCCAGCAGAACCCAACTTTATAAACAAGGCAGTGGCGGCCAGACTAGACGCAGACGACGCCAAGTTCGTTGACGTCATCCATACAGACGGACGTAATTTTGATTTTGTTGGAGGCTACGGCCTGATGATTCCTTGTGGAGATGTAGATTTCTACCTGAACGGTGGTGAGCACCAACCAGGATGCTCGGGATCAAGTGAGTAAATGAACACAATATTTTTTATTTACACAGTAGGCCTACCTATTTTCATACGAACAAATGTAAACACAAAACTGGCAATATTATTTTGTATTTAAATTATATTCAGTGATAAATGCACTTGGTAGCTGAGACTTAGGGTTCAGTGCTATCAGATGTAGCGATGGAATTGGGGCTTTTTCCCAGCTCTCACACAAAGGGAAAGCATTGATCAAATGTTCCCAAATTTTGTGTTTTAGATGTGTCTATGTGGTGCAGTCACGAACGAGCATACGAGTACTTCATGGAATCCGTCGACTCGACGTGTGAGTTCAAAGCCCATCCTTGTGATTCTTTTGTAAGTAGCGAATTTTTTATATTTTTACAATTTAGCATGCCAACTATATTTTTATACATGTACAGAGTACCTCTACATACTAGTGCCTCGACTTATTCGATTTTTTTTTAGTTACGAGCTGTCGAAAGAGTTAAAATTCGCTTTGACATACGAGCAAAGTTTGAGACACGAGTAACCTGATTTGAAGGTTGAACAGCACGTGGAAAAGAAACACCCCGAAAAAGTTGAAACAGCTTGTGAATCAGAGATATTTAATGACAGTCACATAACTGGTTTCCGAAACATTCTAAAAGGGAGGAAAAAATCAAGCCTGCTTCATCCGGTTTATTTTAAAGGCCGGGGGGGGGGGGGTGGGGATGAAGTGGGGAAAGTGAAGAACGCGTGACAAAAATGGCAAAGACCAGCGAAGTGACGAAAATTAAACGAAAATAACAAAACATTATATAGTAACATTTAGGTTAAATTATGTTTCTGTGAAAATTGAGTTTAGAAATAATGTGTAGCATTAAGAATGTAAAAAGTAAGTGAATTAAAGCAGTAACGATAAGTTAGTGAACGAAGTGAAGCTCCTCCGCCTATCTTCCGTAAGCTTAAGTGGGCTGTTTATCAAGGTAAATACACATTAAAAAATTAGCTTATTATTTTGCATTATCCTTTATTATGATATTAACGTATTGATCATACATACCTACACGCTTCTTTTCAAAACAAACGCACTTAACAAAAACAATTTTTGGGGGCTGGCGCGGATTACCGTCATTTCAATTAATTTCAAGTCAGAAAATAGCTTTGAGTGAAGAGCAATTTGAGACACGAGCAATAGTACGGAAAGAAATAAACTCGCATCTAGATGTACACTCATTGAGATTTTTTATTTCAGGCAAAGTTTGAAAATGGCGAATGTTTCTCCTGTGGGTCTGGGTGTGGTGTGGCCGGGTTCGCCGCCGACCAGCACCCCGCCAGAGGAAGTCTATATGTGGACACTCACCATGTAGCCCCATTCTGTGGTAACTATCCTTACAGTCGAAATAGTTAGAAACGGTTTACTTTTTGTTACTTCTTTTATAAAATAAACAATACAGTCGTTCATATGAACAAATAGAAAATGCTCATTATTTTCACAGGATTCCACTACCACGTCAAAATTTTCCCATACGCCTCCTCGGCTGACACATCCGGATTAGTTTATGTGTCTCTGATTGGCACATCCGGGAAGACAGATTTTATCCCGACTAATGCCAAGTAAGTGCCTTCAGTGTCGTTTGTGTTTGTAAGTGTGCATATCGTCTTGCTATTATCTGACTTTTAAGTAATGTTTCCAGAGGCTGAACCAAACTACTGGCGTGTTTCTGAATGTGTTCACATTAATCTTTCTTCACACACAAAGCATGTGTTTTCTAAATGTTTTTCTAACGTTTTTCGCACACAAAACATTCCTAGCAAAACGTATTTTAACTAAAAATATTTTTTTTTCGACTCTAGAATATTCATTCACTTTAATTAACAAAATTTGAGTTCCTTTTTAAACATGAAGGCCAGCGGGGCAGGTGAAGTAGCATTCACCTGTTTCTGTGACCTCAACGTATAAAGGGATAGTGTGGTCAGCACTACCCCCAACCGCCTTTACTTCTTGTACAGCGTGTCATGTACTCATCAGAACTGGGTAGGCTCAGCGACTTTCGTCTACGTAACAGTACTTAATTAAATCGTAATTAGCAGGTATATTAGTGGTCAAAGAGTGACAACTTATCAACACTTCTATTCAAGTATGGGTTTTTTAATACAACGTTGATAACAGGCTTATAGGAACAACTGATGTGCTTATAAAAATATATTATCTGTTGTATTTAAGGTTGTTCTCTGGATTTACACTTGCAGCATAAAATAATTCAGCAAATGTTTCTGGAGTATTTTTTCTGAATTTGTTTTTAATTTGTATGAAGTGACTTGTTATATGAATGTTCACAATTTTTGACTAAGTGATCTTTACACGTACAGGGTAATGCATGCAATTTGAATGTGCAGGTACCTGAAGCTGACTAAAACCACAACCATCACCACCAACGTTGTCTACAAGAACGACATCGGCACTATCACAGGTGTGGACATCAGGTACGACAGAGACAACGGCTCCCTCGGCACCATGCTCCTTTCTACGACAACACCAACCTTGACCATAGCAGGAATTGAAATCATGTCCTCCGTTCACAACACCTGGTAAGTCAATGTTTATTATAGGAGAGTTCAATGTCACAAAAGCTGGTAGGTCAAGATTTCTTGTGAGAGAGTCCAAGGCTGCAACACCCGGTATGTCATGAGTTCTTATAGCTAAGTTCATGTTCACAAGACATTGTAGGTAACGGTTTCTTATAGGAGAGGTCAACGACACCCAGTGGCGTAGCCAGGATAGTCTCAAGGGGGGGGTTCCAATTTTTACCCGAGGACAAACTTTCGATTTGCACCCCGCCCCCAAACTTTCGATTTGCACACCCCCCCCCCCTCAAACTTTCGATTTGCACCCCCCCTCAAACTTTCGATTTGCACCCCCCCCCCCCCTCAAACTTTCGATTTGCATCCCCCTCATTCATACTTTATATATATATACCGAGGGGTCTATGGGGGGGCCCTAACCCCCCCCCCCCCACCTACGCCACTAAAGACACCACTGCTTGTAGGTCTTAGGTTTATATAGAAGAGGTGAAGGTCATCACAACTGGTAGGTCGTGTGTTATTAAAGAAGAGTTCATTGTCAGAAGATCTGGTAGGTCACAATTTCATTCTGCAGTGCGAGAGATCATAAATTATGTTAAATAGGGAATTTGTTTTTTCATCTTCCTTGTTTAACGTATAATAAACGAAATTAATATTTGTGTTATTGTGAAACCTTTAAGATTATAGGATATGGAAAAATTTGAAATCTTCAAAATAAAATAAAAAAAAGGTTGAAATACAGAGGCTTATATTTCTGTCGTATTTATTGTGTTTAACACTAACAAATAAATTTCTAGCCACTCTTTTAACTAATAGAACGTTGACATTCAGTATGTTCATGGAGAATTGTTAACGGGTCGTCAAAACAACCAAGAACCATGATCACTAAACGTTAATATATTGCCCTGTCGTTCATTATATTAGAATTAGAAATGAACTAAATTGCTCACAAATCCAGTTCAATAAAAATGTTACTTTCGTTTGTTCTTTAGGTCATCTTCCTGTCGGGGTTCGTTCCAGCTCCGCGACCGAGCACCTCTCCATATATCAACAGCTGCAGGCAGAAACAACCAGCCATGTACAGCTGTAGGCTAAGAGATGTAGGCCCTACCCGGTGTACCAACTTTTAATTAAAGATCATGAATTTTTACATTTATGTGTTGTGTTTTTTTTTGTTCGTCTGTTTGTCTATTTGGCCAACATTTCTATGAGAGTTTTTTTTTTTTAAGTTTGGAGCTGTGATTATGTTTAGAAGATGGGTCGTTTGCATCAAGCATGTGATTTGATTCATGTTATATTGTGTGTGGGTGGAGGGATGAGTGAGAATCTACCATATTGTGATCAATTATGGTGGGGTGGGTGAAGAAATAAAATATTTACAAGTTGAGATAGTAAAATTAACCTGGTCCTCTATCAATTTTAATCAAAGAACGTATTCTATTAAAAAGCTGCAGTAAGGGTACATCTATTTCTGAGGGTGTACTATTGTCATTAGCTATTCTGTCGAGAGACATTTATCGAAGGGACAACACGTTGCCTGAAGAACGTTAGAAGCTCCTGAATTGATACAACCTGTTCATGACACGATTTGCGGTAAATAAATTCTATTATACAAGCGAATATAAAGACAGTGTGGCAAATTTCTTTAAGTACGTTCGTACTTCAAAATATCCGAACGAAAATAACATGGAGTTGTTTCAAGATTACAGTAGTTTCAATTTTTTAAATAGGTCAAAGATCTCGGATAGTGTTTGATTTATTTTTAAATCGACTCGTGACTTTAGATATTAATTTTTTTTAAACGTCAATAAACTGTGTATGTAAATTGGAGAGTGATAGTTAGGAACTGTTAACTGTGCGAAAACGTGAGTGTGTTATAAAGACTAGTGGTGTAAAGGTTGAAGTTAGCCTTTAGTTGGAACTTGGCGCTTCCAGCTGGTGCTCTGACGTGGGAGTACTGCAGAAATGTTGTTATTAATTTTGGCACTGAGTAAGTCATTTTTCACGGATAAAAACTTAATAGCTGCTCTTACATTTTGCAATATAATATTATTGACAACTCAGATACATTGGTGTGATAAATTGATATTATTTTTAAACGCAGTTAAATAACACCCATTTTTTTCTAGAACATTAAAACTGCTCACATTAAATGAATGTGAGCAAAAAATTTTACCAAGGTAATTTTACAAAATTATGTCACAACAAGCAGACATTTGATGCAAGTAGGGCTACATGTTGCAAATATTTGCTATAGTATGTATCAAGTGAAACAACTTTTACTAGAGAAAAAGGAAGGTATTTTTTTTAATAGCAAATCAGTATAACCGAAATTGGTTTAAGAGTTTGTGTATGTGAAAGGGATGGGGTTTGTGGTAGGCTAAAGTAGCAAGAATCTAACAATAGCATTTGTAGCAAAAAAAAAGAATTTGCAGTCAATACGTGTATCGATACGTTGTAATACATATGTTATTGTATCACGTATTTATAATGGTAAGTAGCAAAATGTTAAAAATATAAAATAAGCATCATTTGCAAATTCAGATCCTCATCAACAATTTTCCCACAGGTGCCAGTCTAGCGGCCCTGTCACATCAGGCCGAAGTCTGCTACGATCACGTGGGGTGCTTCAACAACTTGGCGCCCTATATGAGCGTGCTCCCCAAGTCCCCCACAGATATCGCCACCCGTTTCCTCCTGTTTACAAGAAACAACAGACAAAACCCGGACTCTTTGATCTACACCAGGGGTCTCCAAACTTTTCAGTCCGAGGGCCGCATTAACTATAAAATTTCAGTTCGGGGGCCAGTTTCTTCCAGGCATGTTTTTGATTTTTCTGGGCAAAGTTCCTCAGCCATCACCAACAAACGTTTTTTCCGTGGACAAAAAGATCTCCGCGGGCCGGATTAGAGGACCTCGCGGGCCGCATCCGGCCCGCGGGCCGTAGTTTGGAGACCCCTGCCGTAGAGGAGCGGATCCATGTTGTGTCACGTTAGTGAAATTTGATTGGTTCACTTTAATTGTACGTTGTTAAGTGGTCCACCTCAGCTAGACGTTGTGTGGTTCACTTTAATTGTTAAATTGTTAATATAATTGTTAATTTTTAAGTTTTGAAATAAAAAAAAAGGTTTAATAGCAAGCTGTATATAATTATGCAATATTAAGAAAAATGAATCCTTTTCTTTAAATACATAATAAATAACCACTATTTAAATAATAAAAAAGAAAAGCGCGAGTCGTTAATTAATTTTTTAAATGGTATTCTATAGGGCTACATCATATAGTGATGCAGAAGGAGATGTGTGTGTGTGTGTGTATGTGGGGGGGGGGGGGGTTCTAGTTCCGCCATTGTGCACGTCCTATCCCACTTTAAAACCAACTTTGTGTTGATACCACAGCGTCATGACTGTGACCACACCATTCTACGTCACATCGGTGTATAACAACCTAAGTTACAGAGTCAAACACCTCACCTCGACCTATCAGTTTCTAAATCAGGGACAGTGCGCTGCGTAAGTCTCTTTTTCACGCACATACACATACGAATACGCAGACATTAATATATATATATATATATATATATATATATATATATATATATATATATATATATATATATATATATAGCCAATATATATATACAGAGAGACTGAGAGAGAGAGAGAGAGACCGACATATACAAAGAGGCCTATATGAGTACACTAGTTAAAGAGTATACAGGTCACAGGGCATAGAATGAGTATAACATCTTTGAATATCCCAATCACATAAAATAATAGGTCAAATCTACTTCTGCCCGATTGACCTAAATTAAGACTGAAATTGTAACTTTACTTGACATACATTCTGGTGGAAGTGCAAACAATTTTATCCGGTTCGTGTCACCCTTTGCTCAATCCTGTTTATAACGTTCAATTCTTTCTTAAAACAACTAGACAAGGAGATTTATCTTTGGGTTTACAATTTTCGTTTAGGTGTCTCCCCCCCATCTCGGATGATGTCACACGCTATCGTCCCGTCCCCCCCCCCCCTCCCCCGCTCCGACTGTTGTGAGGCTGATGCTTACTTCCCTTACAGATCGCGACAGTGGTAAAACGCAGGCTTGCTAACCCAAAAGTCGCGAGTTCGAACCCCTTCTCGAGGCCCTCATTCTTCATTCAACCTACTGTCCCTTTGTCTGAAGTGATGTTCTGGCAGTATTGAGGGATACCTTGGTGGGGAAAAAAGTGTATTGCTTAAAAAATAATGTATTCTCTCTCTCTCTCTCTCTCTCTCTCTCTCTCTCTCTCTCTCTCTCTCTCTCTCTCTCTCTCTCTCTCTCCAGCTGCACTCTCGATAATTTCATTGAGTCTTACAAAGAAAATAGTGTTTGATCGGCTGCACTCTCTGTATATCTACTTTATAATTTAATATAACTTTAAGTTTACAGCAGGTTTTCTGCGAATATTTTTTCTCGCAGGCTAGGCTCCCCTTGTACACTATCTGGTACCTGCCAGCTGAGGAACCGAGTCCAGTGGATCCTTGTAGAGAAGGACGACGGCAACGACACGTTTGTCTCGGTTAACGTCGGCAACGACTGTTACTGTCAGTATCATTAAAATGTTACTGTCAGTATTACTAAAACGTTACTGTCAGTATTATTAAAACGTTACTGGTACCAATAAAACGTTACTGTAAGTGTCATTAAAACATTAATGTCAACACCTTTGAAATGTTACTGTCGTTATTATTAAAATGTTATTGTCGGTGCTTTTAAAACACTGTTACAACATGGCTAAACAAAATATATCCGGACATAGATCGGATTTGGACACACGACTTGTATCACAAAGAGTGAAGTGGGAAAAAAATAGTAAGTTTCAACCCTTAATTTACGGAAGTAAGTTCTGAATTAAATTTGTTCTTAAACAATGCGTTATGATATTGCTTTTGGCACTCTTAAAGCATATGTCAAAGGAAATTTAGTTTCGTAAATTTTAAATGGTTCAAATATATATTGGTACTTATAAGTACCGTCAAGAATGTAGAACATTTTTTTTTTCAAATTAAAAAAAAATTACAAAACAGGGATAACTTGTAAAATGTATTAACTTATAACATGGCAATCGTTATAACAATCATATTTGTAATTTTCACTCATAAACACAACACTAAAGCATATTTTTAATGGATTTTCTATGGGATCACATCTAAGACCTTCTGATTGTACCAAACACAACAAAAGGTGCCGACATGTCCTACTCCCTTATCTATATATATAATTCTCTTCACGGGGACCATGCGAGACACCACGTAAACGCACGCCGTTACTCCAACGCTCTCCAGGCAAATCGCTATCACCCCAACCCCAACCAGTCTGGTGAGCTTTGGTACACGACGAATGTTTACAATGATAGAGCCGGGTGGGTGACGGCTATTAGGGGAAGATAATTTAGTTTTTAAACGATTTGAAACTATGGAGAGGAAACAATTTCTGTTTGATCTTTTCATTGTCGTCTGTAAACTGTCGTCACGAACGGCTGCTTTCATGGGCCTGGGGGGAGGGGGGGGGGGGGCTAGACAATTTTTAGCAATACTTATATTTAACAAACCTTAATATTAGAGCTAGAACTAGACTTAGGCATACAAACAACTTTCCTAAACTTAATAAACTAGCCTGCAACTGCTATCTTCGTTTTTGTTATACATTTACTAATATAAATCTAAATTCAGTTACAATATTTGTTATGTAAACCATACGCTAACCTTCTTCTAATTTCAATAACTTATTATCAAAATAATAGTTATGTCAATCCACGTGGTAAAACACATAGACACCCCTGTCTTTTAGTGCGGATACTGACTAACAAACCTATACACAAAAAACAAAATAGAACAATACCTTAGTGACCAGCACCCTAACAACGACGTCTGTCATGAAATCTTCTACACAATGAACCCAGAAAAATAAATATCTTACGTATACGCCAGTAGTGTACGCAGGGGGGGGGGGGGGGCAGGGGGAGCGCCCGCTCCCCCTCTGGTCATTTTCAGCAAAGTGGCGCCTTTTTGGAAACTTTTTAATCTCAAAGTTTTAAACAATGATATTTGTTAAAAAAATATTTTTGGTCGGCAAATCTATGTAAATCACAAGATTTCTTTTCAGCAGTA